TCGGCACCGACAAGGAGCTGAGCGACCTGCTGGACTTCAGCGCGGTAGGCCCTGCGCGGGCGGCGGGGGCGGCTCCCCTCGAAGCCCGCCGCGCCCCCGCTGAGGAGCCGCGTCTCTCTCTCTCTCTCTCTGTCTCTCTCTGTCTCCCCTGCAGATGTTCTCGCCGCCCGTGAACAGCGGGAAGGGCCGGCCCACCACGCTGGGGAGCAGCCGGTTCGGCGGGGCAGGTGAGGCCGTGCGGGAAGGCGCCTGCGGGCGGAGGGTGGGGCGTGGGCGGAGGGGCCGGGGCGGCTCTGCGCCGAGGCCCCGGGGGTGCGGGCACAGGAGGCGAGCGGGGCGGGAAGAGCCTCGGCGCGTCTTTCCCGAGAGCTGCTCCGGTGGCTCCGCTCGGGTTTTCCGCCGGGCCTTTCCTTCGGGCGACCGTCTTCTGGGGCCCCGATTCCACCAACAGACGGTTCAACGGCTGAGCGGAGCTTCCCAGCTGCCTCCTGGCCGTCGGCCCCCCCTGGCCCCGCGAGGCGCTGGGCGTGCGGCGTCCTTCCCGAGGCGTCCTTCGTTTTCCGGCGCTGCAAGGATGCGGCGGCCCGGGGGGCGGGGGCGGCTTAGCCCAGGACACCCCGGCTTGGCAGTAGCACAAACCCCCGGAGATATGGCGGGAAGGCTTCCTGGCGCTTTCCCAAGGAAGCAAAGCGCCGCTTGGGCTGGGCCAGGAGAGAGAGAGCGCGGGACGTGGAACTGCCGGCAGCAAGAGAGCCGTAAGCCGAGGGAGGGCCGGGGGTGCTGCTGTCGGCACTTGCTCCCTCGGCACGCGGGCCGCATGGGGCAGCCAAGCCCAGCGCCTCCCTCCGCTTGGGCAGACCGATCTCTTTCGAAGGGGGGGCCTCCCCCCACTTGCTTAGGACCCACCGGGGAGGGAGGGAGGGGACCCTGCCTAGGTGCGCAGCCCAGGACAAATGAAGCGGAAAAGGTTGGTCCTGTGGTGCACAAACGGTCTTCGCATTGTAGTGTTAGTAAAGCTCACCATCTTATCCCAAGTCAAGTGATGGTTGCTAAATGTGCTTCCTTATCTACTTGGTGATATGTTGAGGTAAATTTAATCGTTAGCATAAGAAGCAGAATAATTGATAATTAGGGTTTTCGGGTTTTCTTGACACAGAAGAAAGAATTATCTGTCTAGAAATTGCAGTGAAAATTAACAAAGCTGCAAACTTGCATGTGTTGGTTGAGTGATATCCTTAGTTTTCTCTTTCAGTCCTTTCGTTTACTTTCTATAAAAGAGCAAATGCTTCTGTTAAATCAATATGTGCATAAATTTTAACATTTAATTTATTAAAGTTCATAATCATCCTTTTATATAAATGTAGGAGGGACTTTATTTCAAGAACTTATGTTTCTGATCTAATTGTAATACAGCATACCTTGTTGGAGTTGATTTAGTGACTTCCCTGCCAAATCTTGATTTTTCACATGGTTTGCACATATCTTTTGTATGCTGAATATTAACTTAAAAAGTTGCATGTCAATTTTTCCTGCCGTACTACATACAAATTCTTTTTAACATTTTGGATAATTGATGGATTTTGTGACTTCAAAAAATGTATAATCTGAAAACTGTACTTGACAAAATCAAATATCAGTACTCAGTTTTAGGAGCACGTGTTAAATATTAATACAATGCTTACATGGAATCAAAAACTCATTTCTATTTTTAAATGAAAAAAATTCAGCACTTTAACTTGCTATGCTATGCAGTGCATCTATACAGTGTAATTTGCCCCATTAAGCTTTTAATTGTATTTGTGTAATTTTAAAATTATAGCACAACTTTTTTTCTATCCCTCTTATCTTTATTTTTTCAGGTCATTGTCTCCAGCATCTTTCATATCATGAATGAATTATTGTAATTATTTCCTGAAAATTAAATAATTTTATTTGCAATTGGGTATATAGTTATAGAACTCAATTGGCTTAGTTTGGGTCCTGAAATCTAGTTTGTTATGTCAGGTAATTAATTGCCAACTGATTTGTAGTTCAAAGATTTTTTGCTTCTGAAGGGAGAAGTTGTATTTTTGCTGAATCAAGTTCTTTCTCTGTTTCTTATCTTTGTAATGTTAGAATGTCTTTGTTATTTAGCAAAATTAGAAAACTGAGTTTTCTGCTCATTGAAGAGCATGCTTCAGTTTTTTGTGGCAGGTGCTTCATGGCCAATATTTAAGGGAGTTATGTTGTCTGTTGTTGTATTCCTCTTCCACTGCACCTCTGCTGTCCACAACAGCTCGTGTCTGATGTCATGTAAACTTGCATTTAATTCTAGTATTAAATTCTAATAGTATTGTTCACTAATACTCTAATATTAAGTAATTTAAATTATATTTGTTTCTTACATGCTATTTGCTTATTCTTCTGACAGTTTAATAAAGTGAAATGAGCACAATATTGACTTAAGTATTTCTAGTAATTCTCCTTAGGATATTTCTCTAATTCTCTATTAATAATTCTCTATAAAGGATATTGCAAATTTGGTTGGCCAAATTGTTTCCTTTTAACATATTATGGTTCTGACGGCACTTTGCAATTGCATTTTTAGGTATGATTTGAATATCTTGTGTTTGGGATTTGCCAGCTTTGACATAAAATGTGTTTATCTCTTAATGGTTTCAATATTATTAGTCTTATTACAATTTGAGTCTTAAGTGATATTTAATTTAATGTCTACATTTTTATTATATTACGCTTAATATTAATATACATCCTGTATCACTCAGTCTATACGATGAGCTATCTAATTTGGTGGCTAAATATGAAGACGTGCCAGAATCTTTCAGCATTTCCTCATAAGTGGGGAGCGTAAAACAGATTCCGAAAGAAATTCCTTGGAGAAAACTTCAAAATTTCTTATACTTTCATACTATAATCTGTATTTCTGGTTTTTTTTTTTCCCCTTCAGATAAAATTGAATGGACAAGAAGGCCTCAATAGTGTGTTGGAAATTGATTGGCCTATATCCGATCTCCCCTAGACAGTGCAATAATTTTTATTTGTAAAATTAATTGGCCACCCATCTTACATTTACATTTAACTCTGCAGAGTATTCAGTGTGTGTTGGGCATATAGAATAAATATGCTACCTGGACTGATTCCATTTTTTCCACAGGTGCCTGGAGAATTCTCTTGGTTATATTATGTGGCTCCTGTGAAGACTATAACTTTAAACTACCATTATAGTCATTGTTGCTGTGGCTTGTAGGGCTTAAAGTGTGCTGTTCTGCTTTTCATATTGTGCTTCAAAATTTTAGAGCACTAACTTTAGCACATGTGAAGGTATTTGGGAATGACCTTGGGGGCTGAGTAGTTTACTACAGACTTGAGTAATAAAACACAGGTAATCTTGACTTACTACCACAATTGAGCCCAAAAATTCTGTTGCTAAGAAAGACAATTGTTAAATGAGTTTAGCCTCATTTTACAATCTTTCTTGTCACAGTTGTTAAGTGAATCATTGCAGTTGTTAAGTGAATATGACTTCCCCACTGCTTGTCAAAAAGTTGCAAAGGGTGATCACATGACCCCAGGACATTGCACGTCATGAATGCATTCCAGCTGCCAAGAATCTAAATGAATTTTGGATCACATGACCATCAGGATCCTGCAATGGTCGTAAGCGTGAAAAAGTCATGTTTTTTCAGTGCCATGGAAACTTCAGATGGTCACTAAACAAACTGTTGTAAGTCAAGAACTATAGTCAGTTTGCACTAGAAAACAGATCAGAAAAGCAATTAAGTAGTCTTACACATAATTCTTATGTCCAGAGAAATTCTTATCAGGCTATAACATCCCAAAAGTAAATTCTCAATTGGAGTTTATAAACTCATTTCAATACCAGCAGCATTAGTTGCAGGAGTTCTGTGCCAGTGTAAACCCGTAGATAATGAAGTTATAAATAACAATCCCTTGAGTCTGTTGGAAGTGTTTAGACCAAGGGTCTTCAAACTTGGCAAGCTTAAGACTTGTGGACTTCAACTCCCAGAATTCCAGAGCTAACATGACTGGAGGAGGAATTCTGGGAGTTGAAGTCCACAAGTTTTAAAGCTGTCAAGTTTGAAGACCCCTGGTTTAGATTGTGGAGTCTGTCCAATACACAGTAGCTGCATTCATTTACCACAATCGCTGGACCAACTCATTTGTATAGGGCATTCTTGCTTCACTTATCCTAAGAAGATAACAGCCAAAATGGAGCCACCTGTATTTGACATATTAAATTCTTTGCAACTAAGTAGGTACAACAAACTACTTCTGTCAGATGGGGAATATATTCCCAAATCAATTTTATGTGAAAAACAGTTCTGTCTGGAATTAATCTTCTAAAGTTAGTGTATGAAGTGCATTTTAACAAATCAGAACTTGAGATGAAAATGTTCCCAGAGAAGAACAGATAATTGAAATTTTAAAAGAGTCGAATAAGTCTATTCTTAAGCATGTGTTATATTTTGCATGTGTTATATTTTGTTACAGAACCCTGCACTTTTTATTTCTTATCCAATAGAATTAACCACATTAGCTTTCTGTTATCTATGACAGGCACTTTTGATCCTCTCCCGATTTCTTACAATGGAGAGCACTGTAGGATAGTGATGTGGTCCTGAATAAAGTTGGATACCCTTAATCTCCCTGAGAATTTTACTTGTATTTTGTCATATCCACTCCAGAGGTGGGATTCAGCAGGTTCTGACTGGTTCAGGAGAACCAGTAGTGGAAATTATGAGTAGTTCGGAGAACCGGCAAATCCCACCTCTGACTGGCCCCGCCAACCCCATCTCTTCTCCGCCTCCCATCGAGTCCCAACTGATTGTCTTGGTCTTTGGTTGCCCTGCACAGGAGAACGGAGCTGGAAAGGAGGTTAGTGGGGTGGGGAGGGAATGGGATTTTGCAATAACCTTCCCCCAGGAGTGAGGAGGGAATAGAGATTTTACAGTATCCTTCCCCTGCCATGCCACACCCACCAACGCCATGCCATAAAACAGGTAGTAAAAATTTTTTGAATCCCACTACTGATCCACTCCCTTGCAGAATCTTTGTAATTTTAACTTCAACTTTTAATTTTAAAACAAAAAGGCAAGTGCCTCTGAAAATTTGATGACAACAGCTACTGACTTTCATGTTTTTTTCTTTGATTGCAATTGTGGAAAAATGCAGAAAGTTTGATCATCTGAAGATGGGGAAATTGGATTTATTAAAGCTACATTTACAGCATAGCAGTGTTTTAGTTCCCTAAATACTAAAGTTATGTTCACAGAAGTTACTGTGTCAAAAATTTAAGCAGCCATAGATTTGTGAAATTTTTTTCTTAATGGCTTAATTCCTTTCAATTAAACATAGCAAAATAATCACTAGTATTTGCCTACTGACTGTGACATTGTGGGGAAATATGTTTTTTAAAAAGCTTGAAAATAAAATGAACAGTGGATTTTTATTTCCACATATAATATGCTTAGTATGTTATTTCACTTGTATTTCACTTGAAATGCTATCAATTAATAATAACCAATTAAATAAAATGATTTGCCTCTCAAAGCATACCCGTCTACAAAATCAGTTGACCCCCCATCTGCAAGTTTCAGTCAGCCTCTTTCAAAAACAAATCAGCCACTTTCAAGAAATGGAAGCTGTTGCAACTAGTGAGATGATGGACAAACCTGGATAAAGAGAAGGCAAGAAGATGATGATATGAGCTAGTAGGAGTGAAAAGGGAAGGATAATAAGGTTAGTTAGGTCTTAGACTATGTGTATTTAATCCAGTGAACACTCCTGCCCTCTTTCAAGGAATCCAGGCTCAGAGATCTGTTAGCTCTTTGTACCTTATGATGCTAATTTCTATACTAAAGCTGCTCATATCAGTTATGTAAGATGTATTTGTCAGCAATTCCTTGGGAAAAATTGCATCAATTTTCAATCCTTCCTTGAAAATATTACCAATCACCCCTGTATTGCAGTTGGGTAAACAAAATCGTGAAGGCTACATACTGAATTATACTGGTAAAATTTCAAATTAGGATTCTTAGGCTTCTAGATTAATTCCTTCCATGTTATTAAAACTGTAATATATTTGGCTGTGTAGTGTTGTATAACACTTAACATTCCTGGTTTTCCTACTCATAGGGTGACTAAAAATAATTATATTCAGAAATTTTGTATATGGTTTCTATATATGGCTTGTTGCATTTGGATAGTTTTCAGCCTTATGTGTATGACTTGGTTTCTCATGCAGTGAAATGGTGATCAAAGAATTTTCTTCCCAATTGTGCAGTGTATTTTGTTTCACTTAAGTTAGCAGACTTTTTTAAAAAATTAAATGAAATTTTTGAATATATTATTGTGGAAGCCAGAAATGCCACTTCAAGCAATGGATTATAGTTTCCTGAAAAAACAGTTTTACTCTGATAAACAATGAAATAAGAAACTAAAAATGAAGTATTAGCATTGCCCTCGTATATAGATATATATCATTTAAAGTGCAAAAAGGGAGCAAGATATAATAAGCCAAAGAAATTAAGGCACAAGTATGTGTGTGTGTATGTGTGTGTATATAATCTTGCTATTATTTATATTATGTTTGCATATAACTTACATCATAAAATTAGGTATTGTCCCTCAAAGTGTTATGCACCATTTTAAAACAAATCTAGCATTCATTTACGCAATAAAAATAATAAACTTGGTGGGCTGGGGAATAACCTGCTTCTCAACAGGGATCTGAGGAAGGTCATGTTAGCTGCTGTTGGCAGGTTTTTTTTTTAACTATAAAAAACACAGAAAAAAACAGTATGATTTTTTTTAATCTAGCAGCAGTACCTGCAAGGAACAAATGCTTAATGAATTTTTTCTCAGGATAAATTTTTATTTATTTGAATTGTGACCTTGTCAGCCATCCCAACTAAACCAGATTGAAAAATGATTAAGTGAACCAAATTTACTTTATTTTAAGCTTATTGATTGTTTTTTGTTCCCCTGGGAATTTTCCTTAGCAGAACTACTTTATGATGCTACATAGTTGGTTGTCTAGTTATTTGATGCTGCTAATTTTAGAAAAAAAAACATTTAGTTAAATTTAGTGTATATAAGTGGAGATCTTTTCTACATCAAGATAGGAAAGATATATGTGTGTATATCCCAGTTTTTGTTATTGGAAAATATTTAATTAAAAAATCAATTAAAAGGGGAAATGTTCCTTTGCTTTAAAAGTTTTGACATTAAAAGGCTTTTGAAATGAAAGAAAACATTTTCAGGTATCTTGATAACTGAGAACTAAGTCAGATTTATCAGTGTTTGCTGCAAATTCCAACTATTAAAATATGAAAACATTTTTAATTAGTTTTACATCTGCAAATAAATACTTACCAAAGTAAATTATGGTATACAAAATTTGTGTTAGCTTTGATGGTACTATGGGATTTTACTGAACGTTGAAGTTTGACTGTTCAGGTTGATCTGTTAAAATTCAATGATGCACATTTAAGCAGTTTTGGATAAAGCGGTTGATCAGTCTTGTCTGAACTGATAGCAAGGATCAATCTGTCTGGATAACTTGTTGGGTAGATGAAAGCAGAATTGATAGTAAATCCACTTCTGCAGCCAGCATAGTTGCTAATGAGTAATGATCCACCAGGCAGCTTCTGAGTTTCTCTTGTAAATGTATTGCCTTGAGATTTAACTAATGTAGTTGTGTTGAATCCATTGAACTTTGATTGGATATTATATTAAATTGGAAAAGTTGCCATAAATAGAGCATGTTTACAGCCTTTGTTGTTTAGTGATGCTAAAGATCTGGCATAGGCCCGCCCTTGTAAGAACAATGTTCTGCTTTTTCTATTACAAACCTCCAAATAAAGGCAAGTATGGATTCATTAGCAACCAAAGTTAATTCCTTGTTTTCTGTCATTCAGATTTTAACGTGAGATTCAGTGTGAGTGGATGATATGGGTATAATTTTAGTTTTTAAAACAATCACAATAGTCTTTGACTATTTGACAAAGAGTGCGTTGAGGATTGAATTTCAAAGCCATTTTACGGTATTGATTTTGGTGGCACTTTTAATATTGGAAGTACACTGTAATTAACTGATGGCTGCTTCTCTCATTTACACTAGAACAGAAATACTGTATTCCAAAGAAACACAGACATTAACATGCTTAAGACTAACAGTAATTAACATACCAGGTGGAAACCAGTTGCTTAAAAGGAACTGTATTTAAGAATATAACCCAAGCCCCATTATTTGCTCTGAGTATTTCATATGGAATTAAGTGTGGTTGCAAAGGTGTATTGTTTTCTGAGAGGGGACTTTAATCCAGCCTTCCCTGGCCTGGCGCTCATTGGATATTTGGGAGTGGTCTTTCCTTGATTCCCACCTGCTGGGCTTTTTAGCCAGACTGCCTAGGAAGCTTAAGACCTGTTGGGAAACAGGTTGTGGAGAAAGAGTCCTTTGAGCTGAGTTTTGTGAGAATTGCCCAGTGCCCCCTCCTTCCTTCAGAGGTTCATATAAATTTAGTAATGAATATATGATCTAGTGTAGGGCTGACCTAAATTGTAATTTTAACATCAACACAATTATTTTGATATCACCTGAGATTTAAGCACTTAACAGCTAACATCATGTCTGATAGTGGGTTTGTTTGCTTTTCTTGGAAGATTTAGGATTTTGAGCCTGTAAATTCCCCTCATGTGGGGATGTTGCCATTAAAAAATTGTATTTGTTGCTGTCTCCATCTGCTTGCAGGGAACAACTGTACCCAAGCGTCTTGGAGGATATAGAAGAACTCCATGAAACAGAATAAGCAAGTAAGATATAACCCACCTCACCTCTAATATAGAAGCAGTAGAACTGGAAAGTGCAGAATGGCTTCTAAGGAGATAGACTTGTGAAAAAGAATAGAAAATTTAACATTGGATCTTATGATCTTAAAAAAAATGTTTCATTAGTGTTGGGAGTAAGATTCGGATTAAAAAAATCAAAGGCAAGGGAAACTACCTGTGGCCTTAGTTTCATTACCTTCTCGCCCTAGAATGTAACAAAGTACATTTGAAATTGGAGAGAATGTCAAAAAACAAAGTCTGATGACTAGCAAGAAAAAGAAAATTAAAAATGTTTTGACTTCTGCTCAAATCACAGTCTTTTGTATTTCTACTGTATGTGTTTGTCTCCTGGCTCTATCTTGGTGTGAGATAGTTTTACATTCTTCAAGGAAGCCTGTCAGCATGGAGGGTAATGGCATCTATAAAACACTTGTAACATACAATTAGTCCTAGACTTGCAAACGTTAGTTAACCATTCAGTTAGGAGGGACTCAAAAAAAATCACGATTCATCCTTGATGATACATCTGCCTCACCACCTCTACAGTCCTGCAATGGCATTTTGGGCACTTGGCAAATGGCTCGCATTTACAATCAGTTGCAGAGAGGTCCTATGGCCACAAGATCACATTTTGCAAGGCTTTTTGCCATTTTCCAGCCAAAAATGCCCATTGGAGAACCTGGATTCAGACTTAAAAACCAGGTGATTCACTTAATCATGGTGACTTACTTAGTGATTGTCATGTAAACATTTGTAAAATCTAGTCCAGTCGCATGACTCAACTTACTGCAACACTGTATGACCAAAATTCCAGACTCGTGTTCATAAGTTGAGGATTTCCTCCATAGGAACTCAGATGCTTCATTAAGATCTTGGGATGAAACAAGGAATGCTGGTCTCAACCCCTGCACATTTCCCTTAACTTGGACTGGAATTAATTTGGCAAGATCATGTGGACAATAATAAGTTGCAGGTAGAATGTTGACCATTTTAGCCACATACAACCAATGGGAAAATTAAATTGCTGCTAAATTTTTTACATTACTTCAGATAAAATTCATGTGAAGGGTTGTTGTTTTTTAATGGCTTTGGTTTATTATTTCAGCAGTTCACTCAGCTTCTTTGGACTATTTGATGATTAGGAATCAGTTCAATTGCTATTTTGAAATTTTGCAGTTGCTAAAAGCTTTGAAATAATTGAAGCTCCTATGCAAATTATTTTTATAAGAAATTGAAGAAAGTTGTTAACATAATTAACATGAATTTCATATAAGCTTTGGGATAATGAGCATGGATGTTGTGCTTTTGTAAAGCAATAGAAGTTGGCCTTGAACAATATAAATTTTTGATTTTATAATCAGTACAATGGAAAAATCTGTTTTGGGTATATCTGACACTTCAAAGAATGTTCAATAAAAATAAAGTCCAGGCATTACAATCCTAACTTGGTGTTATTGTATTTTGAGCTAAAACTCAAAAGAATTGCTAAAAAGATTTTGAATTGAAGGTTGGGAATAAAGAAGTTCAAATATTACATCCTTAGCATTGAAAACCCTTGAAGACTGAAGAGTTTCATTCATAGGGTTGATAAAGCAATGAACATTGGATGGGTAAATCTGTACCTGACTTTCCAGCAGAGGATTCCTGATAGACGGTCATTGTCACTGGCTGGAGTCTTGTTTGGAGTGGGTGGCCCAGGAACAAGAGGATGTGAGCCTTTGGGTCAGTTTTGGGGAATGTTTTGTTTATGAAATAATTTTGCATAGCCTTTTTTTCCCAGTTTTGAAACATTATTTTGTTAATACTATTATTGCTCTTTATACTTTTTCCTGTTAATTTATTTGCTTTAGTTAAAAGAATTCTCATCGGAATGATGGAATTTTGAAATGTTAAGTAAACTTAATGGACTACTTTTTGCTGGGGTCACACTTTTTGTTCCTGTTTCTACCAAAGATCATTTAGCAGTTCAAAGATTTCTGTTACAAGCACCCATTTAAGGCAGTGCTCACCAACCAGTGGGCCGGGGACCATTGGTGGTCCATGAGAAAATTTTGGTGGTCCGTAGAGAAATGTCACCCCAAAGCCCCCCCCCCCCCAAGCAATTAATCCAGGCTGCACGGGAACACAAGGCGTGCGTCGCTTGCAATGTGAACAATACAAGGTAGTGAGGGGAGGGGGAAAGGGCGGAGTGGGGGAACTTGCCCCACTCACCCCAAATGCCTTGCCTGGCCACCGGGCTGCTTCTTTCTGCTTCTGCTTTTGGCTGCATGCAAGGAAAGCAGCAAACGGATTTCTTTTTCTCCCCCAAACTCCACCAGAAATGATCTTTCGGATCTTGCAAGGCATCCTGCTCCAAGAGGCTGTGCCCATGCAACAAGTCTCACAAAGACTCATTTCTGGTGGAGTTTGGGGGAGAGAAAGAAAGACTTCTGCTGCTTTCCTTGCATGAAGCCAAAGTCTCTCTCTCTCTCTCCCCCTCTGAGAATGGAGCTGGAGATGGTATCCTGTGATCCCAAATAAAGAATAATTGATCGGTAGGAGAACGGGGTGGGGACTTTACCTGCAGACTTTTTTGGGGATTTTCCCAGGGTCTCTGCTGCTTTCCGCTAAGACCCTGGGAAAACGTCAGCAAGCCACCGCCAGTCAAAATTCATATTAGTGGTCCGCGGGATTTAAAATTATGAGTTTGGTGGTCCCTGAGATTGAAAAGGTTGGCGACCCCTGGCTTGCTTACAAAGGCAAAAAAAAACCTAGGTAGCTTGCATGAGTAAATCTGATTTATTGTAAAGACAAAACCCAGGAACAGTCCAATGAAAATGCAAAATAATAAGGAAGTCAGTGGGATTTCATAGCTTTCCTAGAAAATCTTTGGGGGTCTTGATGGAATGTTCTTTGGGAAGCATTAAGTCCAGTGCAGTTGATTGGATAGCCAAGCCAGTGACTTTTTTGGCACTACACCTTGAGTCTGGTTTGCTATACAATAAGAAAACAACGCAATAAAAGTGTTACTTTGACATTATCATCATTTGCATGATACCGAAAAACTAGTTTCCAATTATTCTCAACAGATTGCATAATCATAATATATTTAAAGATATAAAAAAGAACAACCACCTGAAGATTTTTACAGTAAAATAATGTTTCATTCTTTGCAACAAAAATGTATAGGCAGTGCTTTTCATTTTTCCATAGTCTGATGTTTAAGTGATGTTTTCCATAGTCTGATATTAAGTGATGATCACTTAATAAACCAGCTATTGGGTTTAGGGAGAAAACTACAGTACTTACTGACCCCGTTTGAATCTTTAAATGTGATTATGAGAATTGTGTGAGTGTGAAATGATTTCTTTGGCTTATTTCCTCCTGTTTGTGAAAGTTGTTAAATAAACCAGGGAACATCTGACTATCTGATTCCTGTCCTTATAATTTTTTTCTCTGGTGATCTCCCTATCCAAGAACTTGGTATTTTTTGTTTTGCATTTTGATCACAAGAGGAAGAAAGACAGTCCTACTAATTTGATAATTAGAAGCGAGTTCGACAGAATTTTTCATGGGAGTGGAATCTTAGCTGTATACAGTATATTTGAGTCTTATGTGTACTGTAGATTTTGCAAGTTTTTTAAATGTATTGTGTTCTTTGCCCCAAATGTGTTTTTTCAGGAGGCAACTGGAAAAGTCCAGTTGCCTCCTAAAAAAGCACCTTTGGGACAACCATGTCTTGGCTGACTGAGAATCTCCACAGACATATTGTTTTCTTTTTTTGCATCGGAATACGAAAGATCTTTATGTTTCCATTTGCTGTGGTGGTCATTTTGCCTTCTCTTATGGAGAAACAAATGATATGCCAAGGGTGACTTCTGCCTTTGTTGGTGCCAGCCACCACACTTCCTCAGTCCTTGGACCAAGTACTATAAAATTATTACATCATTGTCAGCTGTAAAATGTGGCAAAGACATAGTGGGCTGTTGCTCTGGGAAATGCTCTAGAAAATTACCATTGTATAATGATAATTTACCTATCGTGATGAGATTTATTGCTTTTGTAAGTTTTATGGAATTGTATTTCTCACTTAACAAATGTTATTTCTTTGTGCTTTTTGAGTTAGTCCTCAAATAGCATTGCTGTTTTAAAGATTATTCTCAAAAACAAATCATTTGTCCATGCAATGTATTCATGTAAGATTTTGTGCCATTTTGCATTAAGTTTAGCACAGTTGTTACATCCTTTTTGCTCACAAGTCTTCAATTGTGTATCCAAGAAGTTAAGAGGAAAAATAAAAGTTATTAAAATTTATTACCAGTAGTAAAAGCAACCTCCTTTATGGAGCTTAAAAGTAAAGCAATTCAACACTGATTTAAAATAAATTATGGATGTAGATCCAGAGAATTACTGTCTTGATGCTTTTCTTCTTGGCATATTGTAGAACTAGGTGGCACTTTGGATATTTTTGCAGGATGGCACATCAGAGCTCACATAGAGCCCTTGTCTCCAGCTTTTGAAAGAAATCACGCCTTTTCCCAGGTTTCTGCAACTGCCTCACATCCTAGAAAGAATACCTCAATTGAAGGAATGTCATTCACATCCTCAGTGTTCTGAGGCATCTCTTTGGAATCGAGTTCAGAGTTGATCCAGAGCCCCAGGAAAGCATGCAAAACAACCAGCTAGAGATGAATCAGCATGGTCATACCGTTAAACTTTTTCCCTTGCCAAACTTTGTGAATTTCCAAAAAGCATTTGATAGAGAAGAGAGCAAGGAAATACCTGGCTTCATAACATTTGTGAATGACTTGCAATCAAGCTTGACTCTGCAGTATGTAAGATCATAGATTAATATTACGTGGCAAAAAGATTGAAAGGAAATCAAAGACTTTCCCGAATTGCCTTAAGTATCTTCAACAGGCAAATGTGATTCAGTGTAACTAAGCTTAAAGCATTTTTCAGAATATAACTTCACTTAATATAAGCTGTCATCTAATTTGCGTGTGAGTAATCAAGAGAAAGCTACCCTGGGGTGAATGCTTTCAGAAGATTGAAAGTTGAGCATAATTTAAACTCATGATTTCTCTGAGTCTTTGCAGTTTATTACAAAGCATGCATTTTCTTTCTACTGGTAGGTATGGAGGAACAAGCGGGGGCGATATCTTGGGGAGCAAGTGGTCAGTCAAGTCCTTCCTACGAACCTACAAAGGTAAGAGTATAACTTAACTGTAGTTAAAGCTGATTACAGAAATATCCAATATCTGAGCACTTTCCTGAACATGTATTTGCCTTGGGGTGCTTTTAATGAGCAACTCTGAATTATTTCCCAACACAAATAACTAGTCAAAAGATGAGATGCAAGCTAGGGAGAATTGTGAACATATCTGAACACGTGTTACAGCAGCTGTCCAGGCTTGGGAGCGCGAGATTTGAATCAAGTTTATTACGGTCCGGAGAGGGCCTCATGTTTCCCACAGTTTTCCTGACTGCAGTTTTCTCATGAAAGCCTTCCAGCAAACATTGGTACCCCTAGCCAAAATGTGGATGTTAGGTTTCATTATAAATTTGTTTATTATCATCATGTTCTATTTATGCATGTCTAGTAAAGCAATTGAAGTAATTCTTAGCTATAGTATTGGTAATATAGCATGCTTGTTTGAAATAGTTTGGGTCATGTTGAAGAAAATATTTTTTACTACTAGAATTCAATGGTTTTAAATTGTTAGTTGAAGCACCAGCCTATGGCCTAGAAACCAGAAGACTCAAGTTCTAATCTTGCTTAGGTCTGATAGCCGGCTGCGTGACTTTCGGCCAGTCGGTCACATTCAGCCTAAACCCACCTCACAAGATGATTGTTGAGGGAAAGAAGGAATATTGTGTATGTTTTCTACCTTGAGTTACTTATAAAATAATAAAGGTGGGATTTAAAAAAATATATAATCTGTTTGCCTCCAGATGTTGTTTAATTACAATTCCCAGTCAGTTCAATTGTTTTGATTACAGTAATTACCAGGAATATTATTTAATTTAATGACATGTTTTAGACTAGAGGTTCACCCCTCTAGTAGAATATAGAATGTTCCAGCAAAAAACAACCATAAGTTACTTGAAGAGTAGTTTGATAACTAGAATTGTAATGTCTCCCTAGCTAGCTAACACAATCCCAGTAGCACTTAGGTCATTGTGGCCAACACTACAGCATCAAACCCTGATTATAGCTCTTTTATTTTTTATGAGAATTCATAAACTCTTTTCCTAAAGGTTGGCAAGTGCTCTTGGAGATAAGTGGGTTATAAACATGTGACCATCTCCTTAGTTCTATAAGGAACTATAAGTATACCAAGACAGCATGGTTTTTATGTGGCATGTGTGCTTCAGGTTACTAATCTCTCCAAGAGCACCAAGTGTATATATGTATAATTTGCACAGTAATTCATGATATAAACTACTGTCCAAATAGACCACTGATCAGCCTCATCAATTTCATCAAAACTGAAATCATAAGTTTTCTTATGGTTATGGTTTGTTTATTTAGAAAAGGTTGGTAGATTATGCTAAATGTTTTTTCTCTTATAGGAAAATGGCAGCCTTCTTGGAAAAAGCTCAGATATTTCAACAGCTCTGGAGAAGCTGAAACATGAGGAGGTAGGATTCACTTCTTGTATGTATTGACACTCTTTGTAGAATTTCTCTTTTTTTTAGATTTTTACACACAGTCTGCCTGTAATGCCAAACAGGAAACTTTCCTGATTCTACAGATTGCCCAATAAATCACAGAATGAAGAAATAACGTTCTAGGAATAGTCTGCATGTGAGGAAATCATGGTGGGTGGGGTTTTTTTTTTTGGGGGGGGGGGGGGAACTAACCCTGGCAGAGAAGAAACACGTTGTGGCCGCAGCCCTGACTTCCCTTTCTGCCTTCCATTGACCAGCTGGACCAGATTACAGAGAAAACTATGTCAAGGGATGGATAGACTCAGATAGGGTAAGCACAGGGGAAAGGCTACAATTCAGAAGTGGTGCATTAACTTGGCATGCAGACCATCTGGCCTTGCAGTATTTGGGTGACCAACATAAATCTGGGGAAATCTTGCTGGCTGAGGAGGGAAGAGGTAACAGTCAGGTTCCAGAAATGTCTGCTTTTAGAGATGGGACAATCCTAATTATCCCATATTTATATTTATATATTGTCTGGTTCCATTATATGACACCTCTTCAATTATAGTCTAACAGTATTTTTTATCAAAAGCAAAATATCTACAATATAGAATCAACAATTTAAAATTTCCAACATAAAATGTCCCAGAGGTGCTTTTTCAGGAGGCAACTGGACTTCCTTATTTTTTCTTTTGAAGACATTTTGCTTCTCATCCAAGAAGCTTCTTCAGCTCTGACCATTCTCCACCATCCTGTCAGAGCTGAAGAAGCTTCTTGGGTGAGAAGCAAAATGTCTTCAAAAGAAAAAATAAGGAAGTCCAGTTGCCTCCTGAAAAAGCACCTTTGGGACAACCAGGACCTGGATGACTGAGAATCTCTACAAACTTCCAACATAAAAATACAGTATAGATTAAGGATATCAGATGGAGTAAACTTAACCAATTTACATAAGCATGCATACTTCTAGTGCTATTAATTACTGATAATGTTACTAACGAAGGATTACTACTAATAAAAGTGGTAACATCATACTACCAAACCTCCAAAGTCTATATATAATCATCCAATCAGGGATGTGCTCTGTTACTCAAAACTGCCACATTAGTTGTATAGGAAGCCGCTGAAAGACTGCAAATTATAGATGTGTTCTGTGCAAAATATTTTCTTAAAACCTTGTGCTGGGTTTGAATATAAAAGAGACTATTTTGATCTTGGTTAGCAACATCATGTTTTTGGGGCAGCTGTTACTCCATGCTGCCTGTCAAATGAGAACAGGTCAGAGTTGCTAGAGGACACCCTTATGATCATAAGCAAGTTATCAGTGTCATTAAGATTATTCCTGAGTGCCTGTCATGTGTGTATTGATGATTTTGAAGTGAATAAAGTGGAAGAATCTTCATGCCCCCGAAAAGGTAAATGTGAAGAAGGAAGTTGTGCACTTGTTCATGGGCATTTATTTATCTTTACTTGCTGGTATTCCAGTGAGAACTCACAGCAAACTAAAATGATTTTTAAAAATATTGTCACCATAGTCACAAGAGCCTTTAATTAAACATTTCTCAGACATATTGCTTGAGTTTGTCTCAAGTGGACAAGAACCAACCAATGACCTTGTGACCCAGTTTTACAGCAGGGAGCCCTAATTTCATAAACTATGGTGGACCACAGAGTCTCAGTCAAAGGCTCCTGGGTTCCCAGGCATCCTTGTATGGAACATATTGGATTGTATATGTGGGGTTTTGCTGTATTGGAAGGGGAAAGAATAAAAGAAGGGTATAGTTAACAAATGATTGTGAAAAATAGGTTACATATATTGTGACAAAGGCTTCGATTGTGTCAAAGTGCTATTGTCTTCCTGGAATTGCTGTTAGAAGGACTGGGGAGGATGTTATACACTGTGGCTTAGTATCATTGTGGCCATAACCAGAAATCTTTGAACTGCTTCTGCATGTATGTATCCACCAATCAAGACACCCCCCCCCCCCCAAGAATTGACATTCAGCATAAGGGGCAGCAAATTTTCAATGGTGTAATTAAAAATCATATTGATATTGAAGTCTCATCTCTTGACATTCATTTATGAGAAAGGTAGTATAGTATTTATAGTATGATGGAAGTTTTAAAATGGTCAGCTTACATATATTATGTGACACCAACATTTAAAATCCAATTTCATGAAAAATGACCCACTGTACATCCATGTTTTCAGTTTACTTGAACTTAGTAAGTGGAGCTGCAAAATAATAACTCCTTAAATACTGTTCTTTATGCACAGGGTTTTATAGATACTCCCTCTTATGGTGATCAGTTGAGTGATGAACGATTAGGACCCAGTGAAAGATTATCTCCAGCTCCTTTCCTGAATTCAAATCTGATAGGTAAGTTGATATTGATTTCTGTGTGGCTCCCTACAAAATGGTTTTTTCTCCCTTTTTTCTAGATTAATGCCATTGGTATGATCAGGCAAGAGCAAGCAGTCAGTGCCAAGACTGGGGCGTTAGAAGTTGATCTGTACCAGGACCCTAAGCATCTATTTCTTGGGTTTCTAAGAGGGATCTTGGAGTCGTAATGGACAATCACTTGATTATGTGGCCCCAAAAGCCAACACAGTTCTAGGCTGCATTAGCAGAGGGATCGAATCACGAATGTTAGAATCGCTTTATAAGGCCTTGGTATAAGGCCACCCTTGGAATTTTGCATCCACGATATAAAAAAGTTGTTGAGACTCTAGAAAAAGTACAGAGAAGAGGGTTGGACTAGAAGACCTCCACGGTCCCTTCCAATTCTGTTATTGTCTTATTCTGTTATTTTTGGCAGAAGCCATTCAATGTGGGAGTCGCCAGAGAAAAGGGAAGCGGGTGGGGGGGGGCAAGGAGCTGTCAAATGACAATAAAGAAGGAAGTGAGGTCCAAATCGAGAAGTTCTGTGAATAATTCAATGATTGGGGATAGCAGAGAACCAAGGAAAGCTGTGGCAGATACACAGAATAGAGGAGTTGTGGGGCTGTGGTTTGGGTCAGTGCTGCTGGCAAGGCAAAGAAGGGGTCTGCAAGGACAGCCACAATTGGCTTTTGGTTGCTTTAATGTCTGGTTTTAGTTTTCAGTGTTTGGACTTGCTAAATAAAGACAGAGATTGCAGTACTTTACTCAAGTATATTTGGAAAAAATCACTGCCATGATTGGTGCTTGCAATTCCATGGAAGAGACGGACTGCCACTACAGTGATATCAAATTTCATGCTAATTTCTTAATTCTTTTGAGTCTGCAGCTACCTGTGTGAGTGTATATTAGCTCTCTTTCAGCAACAGTGTTGTGTGCCTTGAGGCCATAGGAGACGGGCGCAGGTTGCAGGGAGTTGTGCTTTATGTTACCTCAACATGGCTTATTTAACCAATTAGGTTTTTGAGGAAGCCACAGTTGGCAATACAACTTGTGACTTACAAACTACAGTGACTGATTTAACAACATGTGTTAAACCCCATTATGCCTTGGGTGATGTCTGATGTCATTCATAAGCAGATTTTGAAACTCCGTGTGTTTCTTTACCAAGGTGTGTTGCTTTTTGAGAGAAGGAGAAGCTGATCCTTGTGTACTTGCTTCAAACTAGCTTACTCAAGCTTCCCCTGTTGGTTGTCTAGCAGATTAATCTTCACAGTATTTAAAATGGTGTAATTTCATAAGCTTTTCAAAAGTCCTGTCAATGCATCCTTAAAAATAGTTATTTGTCAGCAGAATGGTATTTTATTTTATTATTTTATATTAAATTATGTTCAGTCACAGGCATGTTTGCCAGGAAAGATAGTGAAATATTAATTGCTAGTGGCTTTGACCAATGGAGGTTTTAAACACCTTAATGATCTTCTACAATACTACATTACAGGAGCAAAAAATGCTGAAGAATAGAAAAGGATAATTATTCAGCAATGAACATTATGCTTTAGACCAGGCTTGTCCAACCTGCGGCCCACGGGCCGCATGCTGCCCAGGTCGCCTCGTAATGCGGCCCAGTGCCCACCCCAACCTTCTGGCAAGAGCCAGCGAGGAGGAGAGGCAGGCGCGAGGCGGGGCGAGGCGAGCGCCACGCCAAACAGCAACAGAAAAGGCGGGCACCGCCTTTGCTGCTTCCGCCACCGCCGCTTCTGCCCCGCCGCCGCTTCTGCCCCCGCCGCCGCCCCCCCAACCCCGCAAAATTTGGCCGGAAAATTAATAAAAAATAAATAATTTTTAATAAATAATTAATAATAAATAATAAAAATAATTTATAATGTATTATATAATTTTATAATATAATTATTTTATAATAATTTATTATATGTGCGGCCCAAACCAAATTTTCATCTTCTAATGTGGCCCAGGGAAGGTGAAAGGTTGGACACCCAGGCTTTAGATGATGAATTTTAAAATTGGTTTAGACATTCTATAGTGTTTTTTTGACAGAGGAAATTATTATGTTGAACTGATTTGTTTCTTCCTAATTCTAATTTTGTTAGGAAGACAACATGTAAAGAATTATACATTTTACTTTGACAGTAACTGTAACTGGTTATTAAAGAAAAGTCTCTGAATAATTCATGTGTATCTGCATTTTCTGGCTGTATATTGTTAATTTGGTACATAGTTGCAATGGAACAATAGTAACTATCAATATTCATAGATTTCAATTATAAATAAATTGAGGAAAGAAGGAAAATACAGAATGCTTCGTGGTTAATGTGTTCATGATGCAACTTAAAAGAGGTGTTGTGTATGTGCCTCTCTCTGGGGAAGCAAATTATCCTCTCTAAGCGCTCTAATTACTGTGCCTTGAAGATATTTTTATATTAATGATTTAAGTTACAAGTAAAAAATTTGCTTTTGGCTTACTTCCTTTTTCAGAATCATGTGAAATATAGATGATGGTTTCAGAAACAATTCACTTTGTCCAGACATTTTTAGATACTAACAATATGTGCAGCTTTCTGCAGTTTTTATTTTATTTTAATTATGCAGGTTTTCAAATTAGGGTTTATGCAGAGGAGAAATAACTGAGGAAGAAATTATATTTGGTCCATGAAACCAGTCAATGAACAATCAGGAGTAGTGTTGATTCATAAAGTTTACTGTCCGTACAGTTATGCTCAGGCTTTAGGAAATAAAAGAAAGTGAGTTTGAACTCCTGCTACACAAAGGGAAATATTGAATAGTTTAACTGAGACCTTATGGGTCTTGGTTGCTGTTGTCCATACACAGAGGTCCTGAAGCTGGGAACAGAGGCCGTCCCAAGTCAAGGAGCACAGGGAGTCCTGTCCACTTCCTCTGCTTTTGAATTTGCTGGCCCCTTCAAAAACCTTCAACCATGACAGATAGCTCTACCAACCCAGGTGCTGCTCTTGCTTCTGCCACACATTCTTCTGGGGCTTTAGAAAGCAGGTGCTAAATCCAAGATGTTTCCCAATATATCAGCAGAGTGTTGGAGGTGTAGTTACAGCCAAGGAACGTCTATTCAAATATGGTGGACCTGTCCCCAAGCCCAGAAGTATTGGCTCAAAATTTAAACATGGTTGGAAGAAATAACAAGACAGAGAATTGAATTAAGACCTGAATTGTTTTTATTAGGTATAATAGGATCAAAAGTTAGTAGGAACTTCCAATATATTATACTCCATATAGTAACTGCTGCCAGAATCTCATTTGCTCAAAATTAGAAAAAGAACACTATCCCCTCCGAGACAGCAATAATAATAAAAAATTCTCGAATGCGCTGAAATGGACAGGCTAACGGTTATATTAAAAGATAAAGAAGAGAAAAAGTACTGTAAGATATGGAATGTTTGGTATGAGCAGTTAGAAAGAAGACACAAAGGTGTCTGTCTAAAGTTTGAGAAGGAAGCAACGTATGTGCGCTCGCTCTCCTGCTGCTGTACAGGCAGTTGCAGGTAACCTGCTTAATATAGTTTCCCTCTCTCCCAGCTGGGGAATGGGACTGCTTCTCTGCTGCCCCTTCCAGGGCCCAGTGAGTTTTAGAACGGGGTGGGGGTGGGGGTATGGATGGCCTGAAAAATCTCCGTCCAGAAGGCCCCGGAGAGGAAAAACACCCATTGGCCAATAGTTAGTTCTCTATGGGGAGACTATAGAAACCTTGCTGGAGTTTGGATTGATTGTCTTGGCACACGGTTAAAATGGACATAGCCATCACCTCAGAAAACAGTTCTGAATAAAATGTGAAGGGACCCTATTGATTGCAGTGTAGTTTTCTGTAGCAAATGTTTACATTATTTAAAATTTCTACCTATGTTAGCTTGATACATCATTATTTCTCTGCGAAGGTTAAATATGTAGTCTTTTAGTCAAAATGAATGGAGTTTTAGGACTCTTGGGCTGAACAGAAACACTTTTAAGATAGAAGTTTCCAACTTTGTATAATTCAGCCTTATGCCACTTCAAATCAGCGGCTTTGTTGCAAAGAATGCTCTTATTAACAAGTAGCTGTGAAGCACTTCCAGCGGAGGTTATTAAAATGCAAGTTTGTATCCTCCAGTGAATGTAATGATGTGTGATTATGAAGTCATCAGGCGTGGACCAGGAAGACTCGGGAGAGCCTTCCCCCACCTGAAGTCCTTGGGGTGCCATTGATTGGCGATCATGTGTTTGTGTCCGATAGACTGTGAAATGGGGTGTTGCTGCACGGCTGTGTTGCACCTGCGCCCCACAGAGGTGATGGATTGGTTTGGTCATGTGGAATGTCCCCATCTGGTCTTCAGTAATGTGTTCCCCAGCAAATAACAAACAAGCAATAGAAAAGACTAAAGTAAATGTTCCTTTCAGAAATAAAGCAGTATTTTAAGCCATGCTTTCCCCCATTTCCATATGTTTTACAAAGCTAAAAATGTGCATGTTTCAACTATAGAAGGATGACAAATCCTTCATGAAAATCTCTGTGAAATAGACTTTTGGTAATGTCTGAAAAATATTGATCCAGCTCTGCTTTTGCAGAACATATTTATTGTTTTGGATAGCTGATTATTCTTACAATCACACTTATTTAAAAAATGCTTATTGTGAACGAGTTTTGAAATCAAAATGATAAATCATTATCTGGACATTTTAATTTTTTAAATTAAGTGTTCTTCTTTGATTATTTCTTAATCTCATTTTTTCCATAATTGATCTATTCATTCCACCTTATGACTAATTACATATCAGGCTACTTCATCAGCACTATTCATCACTGTAGAATGTAATAATGACATTTCAACAAAGCAAAAAAATAAATATGCAAATAAGACTCATTAACATTTGCATGAGCTGTTTGCATGAATAATTGCATTGGTGACAAGGCTGTAATTAAAGGAAATTGATGCTATGTTTAGGGTTTGGTGGTGTATTTTCTTAGCGATTTATTGTTGTTCCTCTGGAGGCCAGAATTGGAGTTCTACTCTTTGAGCATCTTCTCTGCCTGGGTCACCAGGTCATGCCAAGAACTGGAGGCTTGGAAGGTTTCTCTGTGACTTCCCAAATAGGCCTATAAAAATACTTGCCTTAAATAAATTTAACTCTAATGATACACTGTTGTATTTCTGAGTTATGCAACACCTATATTAAAGACATGAATATGAGAATAGAAGAATATTCATTTTTATCAGCATTCTTCTGTGAATCACATTACAGTAACGTAGAGGTTTTATTTTCAAGCACTCCATCAAGCTGTAGAGAAGGTGTGCGTGTGCATGTGTGTGTGTGTGTGAGAGGGAGAGGGAGAGAAATCTGTATTGGTGCTTTCAGTTTATTTTGAGTGAATATTTTTATGAAAAGTATAATCAGTTCACAACACAAGGTCATAATAAAGAGCACTGATGGAAGGTAGTGGCCCCTGAAGCACAACATGCCGGGTGGAAACTCACAGGGGAACCTGGGCAAGCAAGCAAGCAAGCAATGGCCCCCTTTTCCCTGCCACTCGTGGGTATCTTAGATCCAGGGCTTTCTGGCTCTGGTGGTGGGAAACGAGCATCGGAATGAGCTGCCCTGGCATCCATCTCTGTGGGCCCCTTGAACTTCTTCTTAAAACCATCTTCTGTCTCTTCTGTCTTGTGCAAGAAGCCCTTCCATTAACCAGTCCTGAACCTCCCCAGTTCTGTGCTAGACTTTGGAGAAAGCAAGACTAGCGCCTGTCTCTTCTATTTTCTGCAAAATATCCCGGTTCATGAGCTACTTCCATCTGTCCTATTCCCTGCTTTCTCTCAAAAATGTTTATGTATGGTTATTTAAGGTTCCGTTTCAGATACTGGTTATCACCTTGAAAGCAATTTAAGACAGAAGGCTGAGTTATTTGTGGGGCTGTCTGTCTCCAGCTACTTCACTTTCCACAAGATCCCACATGCAAGGGTGGGCATGTTCCACATCCCTTTGGTTAAAACAACATTAGCTGGTGGGACCCAGAAGTGCCTCTGCACCTCTCCTGTGGCCCCTTAGTGGCCCCAAGGAGCTGGGTTTTTTTTCTATACTCTGTGAGTGATGTATCTTTCATTTTTGTTTTGGTGAGTTTTTGCTATCGTGCCCAAATCACATGGTAAGTGGGCAGCTACATCAATTGAATGAAGAACACATTGGAGCATTGTATAAATGCCAAGTACAAACACACACACACACACACACACACACACACACACACACACACAACCCCTCAGTTGTTTCAGTAAATTATTTGTGGCAAATTTGCTTGGTTTGTCTGCATACAAAGAGGAAGTGAAATTTGGACTTCTAAACTGTAAACAAAGTGAAACGCTAGTTCTCCACTTTTGTACACTCATCAATTTTAAAGTAACCAGCAGGCAACTCAAAAGGTCAGCAAAAAGAGGCTATTGAAGTAACAATGTGCTTACCACCATAATTATTTTTATTAAACTATGAAAAATAATTATACCTTAGTTGTGAGTCAACATTCTCTGTGTTCTTAGTAACTGCTTCTAAACTCTGGCAATCCAGGACGAAGACCGCCTGGGAGGAGAATGCAATTAAAATGATAGTAGGCCACCCGAAGAGCGGTTTTGGCTCATCTCACCCAAGGGAAGGATTATCTGTTAGCAGAAGCCACAAAGTGTAAACAGCACGATACATTTCTTGAAATATTCTTCCATGGAGCAATTGCTTTAATCAATCAGTTTTATTCGTGGTAAATGGAACTGAGTCCTTTCCAACTCTGTTATTCTGAATGGTGTTTCTCTAATAAACAGTTGCCTTCTGATCGGCTGCTCTACTGTAGTTGGTGGAGCTTCACTGGCACAGCCTCTTGTCTAGCTTAGCTAGAAATGAGGTTCTTTGGATGCCCGTTGCCTGATTTCCAGCAGTTAAAACTAAATGAAATACTGTGCAGAACCTGGTTTTGGTTTCTGTTTTTAATCACCTTACCTTGGTTGCATAGGAGTTACGGCTGGGAGTGAGAATACAGCTCATTCCACGTTATCCGAAGGGCAGGACTAGAAGTGCCATTGCAGTGATTTGATGGACGTTCAGTTGGGGCGGCTTTTCTGCCTGGAGTTCAGGGAATCCCACTATTTGCCCCCCTGCCGCCCCCCCCCAGGTGCTTGGGGTGTGAGCAAGCCATCCACGCTTGCCAACTATGGTGTCAGAAGGGGTTAATGGCAAAGGAGTACATGTAATACTGTAAAGTAATATGTGAAAAATTAAAAGGCAGTGAAGCTTATTTGTTGCCTTATTTTAGATACAATTCGATTTGCATGATTTTGTACATTTTATACAGAAGAAGCTGCAGCACTCCAAAGATCTGTTTATCAAGGACTAATTTTTCAGGAAAGATAAAATATACTGATCTCTGCTGTTAAAAATCAATTCAATTAAACATATTAATGAAATAAATAATGCACTAATTAAACTGTTTAGGGCATGTACAATTCCTTGTTTAAATCACTGTTTCTGTTTAGCAAAATATTTTGTAGTTTTCCCTGTTGTTCATTCCCAGCAAGACTAATTCAGGGCTCCTTTGCATAGTATTTGGCAGAAGGCAGCGGGGAGGAATATGGTGGTGATCTCACCACCAAATCAGCTTCTTGGCTTTGCCCAGAGTTGCTTCTCTGAGGTGCCACCAGGATGGCTAATGGTCTAATTGTAATTATGCAGTTGTTTTTCTAACAACTGATTGATTTTCAGTGATCTAAATGGATTTGCTTTGTCAACGTTATCTTTCATTTTTAGGGCCTGGAGCGTTATTTGTAATGAATACACATTTAATGATATGTTCACCTGTGCTATGGATTTTTCTTTAATTGATGGCAGATCTAGAACCTCAGTTAACTTTGAAAAGGGCCCTGGTGGGGCTTTTAAGTGGCAAACTCCTATTCCTACTGCCAAGCAGAGTTTGTGGACTGCAGGGAATGTAGCTTGACTTTAGAGAGGCTGTACCTTGTTAAAAAAAAAAAATCTGAATCATTGTTTTTCATGAATGGAGCAAGCATCTCTGTGCTCCCTGCGGTAAGAAAATTGCTGGCATAAGTAAGTCATCAATCTTCCCCAAAAGGTCAGTTTTTTTCTGCTTCTCTGTAGCTGCTGGGCATGAAATGATATCTCTCCCCTCCCCAACTAGCTAAACTTACTTAAAGTACGCAGATTAATATATTTTTATCACCATTTTTAAAATTGAAATTTTAACTATAAAAAATAAAAATTGATTAAAATATTTTAGCCTTTATGGTTTCTAGCCTGCCTATTTTACAACAGCCCTGTCCCATGGGGAGGGGGGGATCTATTGTAGACTTGCAGTCAATGTAGAAAGGCTGACTGCTGGCCCTCAGCGGAGATGATTGACAGCCAGCGGTTCTGTTGAGTGCTCTTAAAGGGATCCATGCCCCCTCCCACAGGAGCTCAATAAGGCAGGTTTAAAGTTTTCCTGCTGCCTCACAGTTATTTTTCCAATATTAGTATTTTGCTATTTTGCTAAAATGTTATTTTAAACCCTGCCTAAAATATGACATAACTTAAGGGTTGTTTATCAGTTGGTGCAGGCTTTTCAATTAATGGGACAGAAAATGCTCAGACATGAACCGGGATTAGCAGGATTAATATTGCTTGAGAAAAAAGGGCCTGCTGGGTATTATTTTCCTTGGTTGGTGTCTGGCAGTTTTTGGAGGACTTAATTGCTTGACTGGGCAACTGGGCAACTGGGCAACTGTTACTGATTTTGTTTTTAAATAGGGATATGAATCTACTCTTATGAGGAAAGTAGAGCTAGAAATTGGGTTAGTTGCATCCAAAACCCATGATAGAAATTGAGGGGTCCTCAATTTGCAGTTTCACAAACATTTTTGTTGGCAAGGCAGTTCGTTCAATGTGTTCGATGAACCTCATCAGGAGATATTTGGATTGTGTGTTGCAAAGGACGCAGAGGGTTATGAGACCAAGACCCAACCCTGTACCTTGGGGGGGGGGGGGGGAGAAAAGCACACGTTTGTTTATTATTTTAAAAGGTGATGGCATGATAAAGTGTAAGGTAGATAAGATAACCTTCATCACCACTTTGTGTATGTACATGAAAAATGAAATTCTGATGCCTGCTCTCAAAAGTGTGTGTGTGTGTGTGTGTGTACACATATACATACACTAATCTCAGTCCATTTTGAATATGTAGGGAGGGGGCAACAGGCAAATGGAATTTGCTGCACACAGGAAAAGACCCTTAATCCTGAGAAGTCTCAGCATGTTATGCTTTGTATGCTATCAAGGTGTGAGTTGGAAGTATTCTTAAGTCTTTTGTCTTCCTCCAAATTATTTACTGCTTTTGGTTTTTATTTATATTCCTTTTTAAAATGTAAAATGCTGCCATTAGGAAGTTCTCAGTATGTCTATAATGGACATTCATTTTTAAGTTTGTTTGCTTTCTAGGAAAAGCCTCTGAGAGGAGTCCGTTTCCAATGTTTGGTCGAGATGCCGGGCTCTCAGGCTGTCAGGTAGATCTGCCATTTAAAGATTTGCCATTAGTTTTTTTTTTTCCTCTTTGAAATTCTTAATACAAATTACATACACACAAACTCCTACACTTTTACAATATAGTAGTTATATATTAACACATCATCTTTATATTTCAAGGCTGTTGAAGTTGTGGCAGAACAAAGTTTTCTGTATTATTTATTAGATTCCTGCTTTATCCTTCCTCCAGAAGCCCCAGACAGTGTACATGGGGCACTCCTGCTTTTTCTCACAAATATGATTCTGTGGAACAGATTTTGCTCTGAAGGAAAATGACCAGAATCTGAGTCTCCCCTCAGGCAAATTACTTTTCCTCAATAGCTGTGATCTGCTTTCGAGGCAGAGGAACCAGAGATCCCCAATATTATGATATATGTTTTTACTCCAAGATTATTAGGCTTCTTTTTACCCAACTTTCAAAGAAATAAAACAGAAAAGTGTCAACAAGTGTCAGCATTTCACTATTTAGTTGCCATTGATTGCATAATTTAGTCTATTAATAAGCTGCTATATTTTGTTCCATTTTTTTTCCTATAAAAATATAAAACTCAAAGTAATCGCTTGAACAGGGAACCTGTCAGGAAACATGAGGGGAAATTTCAAGCCTCGTGTAGAATGTGCCAATCTGCATTTGACCGAGCAGTAAAGTCATCTTCTCTGATCCTCTTTGGAGGGAGAGGGCGGTGAAAGGGTTGATCGGAGAATTTCTGCTCCATTGGGAAAGATCAGAAATTCTTGAGCAAAGTAAGAGAAGCTCCTGAGGAGGGACAGAAAAAGAGTGAACCTGGCTTGGAAACCTAAGGAGGGAGGGAAGTGTATAATGCACTGAAGCAAAAGATCAGGAGGCCCCCAGTGCTGATAGAGCTTAACCCTGGACTCAGGCTTTGCCTTTGAAGACCATCCTCAGCCCTCTGACCACGCCCTACCACCCCAGCTTCATGGAAGAGGGCGGAAGGCCTTGGAGACCAAGTGGGCCTGTGAGGAGCATCAGGTAACTAGGCTGGAAATAGCGTTTGAAGTGCTTTGGAATGAAGAGCAGCATATGCGAAATGCCTCCTTTTAACTTTTGAAGGGGACCCTTCCCCCCCCACCCCCACCCCCAGATTTGGTTGTAAGTACAGAAAACGGAGTTTCAGTTGGCTGGAGGACTTCTGTTGGTCTGCACAACATCTCACTGAAGCAAACTTCATGGGGAGAGCTGCAGCAATTACAAGTGATCAAGAGGAAGTGAGATCTTGATAACACCAGGCTTCTTATACTGATATCAGTACTACTCTTAGGAGGAATGTATTCTGTCTGAATATATAACCTCCGGGTGGAATTGATCTTAATATTGCTTTTATTTTTTGCAAGACAGTAAAAGCAAGATGAGTTAATTACATCTATATTGATTTTTAATTTGGCAACCAGTAGTAATTCATATAAACTTGGTGTTTTTTCACCCAGGAATCAGCAGGAGTAGAAAAGAAACCTTATTTCTTTGAGTAAAGTCCTTTTTAGAAAGAGCAATTAGACTTATATACTGGTCTACAGTGTTCTACAGCACTCTAAGCAGTTTTCAGAGTCAGCATCTTGGCCCAACAATCTGGGTCCTCATTTTACTGGCCTCGGAAGGATGGAAGGTTGAGTCAACCTTGAATTGGTCAAGATCAAACTGCTGGCAGTTGGCAGAGTCAGCCTGCAATAATTCTGCATTCTAATCTTTGCACCACCAGACCATTCCTTATTGTTACAAAACTAGAAAGTTATCTAAAACTGGTTTAATGCAGCACATTAAATCATCATATGCTTTATTATTCTGTGAACTTAGCCATCATGAGTTACAAAACATAGTTTACAGATTAGTGCCTTGCATTAAACCTTTGTTTTCCAAAAAGTCTGTCTGAATTTTGATAAGGATTTTTTTCTTTTGTCTTAAGATGGGCAAACTCTGCCAACCTGCACAGCTAGGTTTCCACTGATGGTGATAATCACCACCCATTATATAAATAGAGTCAGGTATTACTTGTTTTGTTTACAGACAAGTCTGCTTCGGTCTAACGTGGGTGTTGGAAGCCCAGGCCCCCTGGCGGCTTTCTCCGAAAAAACTGGAACACCGTATTATCCATTTTCCTCTGCAAATCCACGAAAAAGGCCCCTTCGTGACTCATCTGCCCTTGGTGAGTCAGTCCTGTTGTGCCCCTTTCCCCCCAAGGAACACATTGGACTATTGGCTTCATTTCTTGGATAAGATGCATTTCACAAAATCCTTGACTTAGAAATGGGAGCAAGGGAGAGAAAGAGGCTGCAGAAGGGAACTGCACTTCAATAGCCTGGAGGGTAGAATTCAGTGATAATTGCTCCAAGTTTCTCCCTTTGCCCCCTCCCCACATTGCCTCCTCCCCACAGAATATGTTGTGTGTGTGTGTGTAAAAGAGACAGGTGTATTTTCTAGTCTGGATAATAGTGTAAATTGCTTATTTCCTCATCAGATTTAACTTTTCCACTTAATTATCTAATAATTCAATGTTATTTTTTGAAGAAAGGAATTTGTTGTAATTTATCATGGGAAAGCACCGTTGGGAATGCCCTTCATCCAGGACTATTCCGATGATAGCCATTGAAAGGCCTCACCCAGTGGCTCCAAATAGAAGTTGAACTATAGAAGCTTCTGGTCTTCTGAGTTGCTTTTGCGCTGCGTTGTGTCATTTTACTTCAATACCGCTACGTTTTCCTTTTAATTAAAGCATGTTTTTTTTTCTGTGCAGATTCTCTGCAGACAAAAAAAGTAAGGAAGGTGCCTCCTGGTTTGCCATCTTCTGTAAGTCCTAGAGGTTCTTAACCTTTTAATTAGAAGCACACACTGATTGTATCTAGCTATTTGTTAACTTTCTTAGTCATAAAGATTCACGCTTGTTACTGAGGAAGGAGACAAATTAAAAAATAAAATTGGAATACAAACTTGTGGCCGTTTTATGCAGAAGGAAAATGGGTTGTGCATACCTTGCCTTAGATTTGAGCAGATAAAGAGGATTCCAGAGAGACCTTGAGAGAGTATGCAGAGGAGGGGCACGTGCAATGAGTTTATTCAGCATTAAGAACAAAAGGTTTTGAGGTGGTAATACTGAGACAGAGCAGAGGGGCAGATCCCTGGTCTGGTCCTCCCATTAAATCTGTGGCCAGCAGCAGTTTGTGGGATCAGTTTTACCTGCTTAATTCCTGCAATCCAAGGGGAAAGGAGGGTCACAGGAACTATATCAGGAACACACATCTGTTGATGTTTAATTAGTCATTATGTTGCTGAACAGGAGGACAGAGATTAATAGCAGAGAATGGTAAAATTTACATTGCTGATGATCCCAGTTGTCTTGAAGACCTTAAGATTTGATTGGTAGGACATGTACCACTCAGCTTGCTTCAATAGGACTGAGGTTATTCATATGCATAAATCACCAAGTCTGATGCTTATTGTGAAGCCCTGGTGGATTTCCAAGCCTTCATTAAGCCTTTTCTAACTTGAGCTGAGCATCAGAAAGGCTTTCAAGCAGCCGATTTGTTGATCCTCTTGCACAATGTTTTTTAATCCTTTGATGAAAAAAGGTTTGGAGGGGCTTGGTAGAAAAATCATTATCAACTATGATAATCTTATGCTTTGGGAGTTTGAAATAATAACCATGTTTCGTTCAATAAAGTAAGAAACTTGTTAAATGAATCTGCATTTAAAATCCATATCAGATAAAAGCAGGGCCCTTCATCCTCCCTCCCTTTCAGAACACACAAGAAGTCACTTCTTGGTTGTGCAAATGGAGGTGTTGGGCTTTTATTCAGCAGCACTTGGCACATGGCTCAGGTGTGCTTGGATGAGTTATAACTCAGGAGTTGTGCAGGGTGAATTGGATGCGCTGCTGCTGAGGGCAGGAGCAAAGGCGGTGGGGCCTCCCCAGAGTGGAAGGTGGAGCTGCAGTTTGCTTCTCCTTTCCCTCATCAGCTGCTCCTCCTCCTCCCAGATGCAAGTTGCTGAAATTAACCTGGAAGGCAGAGAAAAGCTTCTTCTATAAGCACCTGGCATGACAAGCATCCTGATAAACTCAGGAGCAGAGAGCCAAAGCCATTATTCCTAAATATAGGAATCTTCCCCTCTTCTTCTGTTCCCAAGAGAAGTTTAAAGCTACTTTTATGATATTTTTAACTACTACATTTGAATGACACACACCATGTAGTAACTTAGAAAAGAAAGTCTACCGTAGATAGTTAACACCTGAACTAATAGTCATGTACACAAAGATAGTAAGGGCCGTCTCTGCATCAACAGATAATGCTAAGCTGTTGCATAAGGAGCCTCGGTGGCGCAGTGGTTAGACCGCGGTACTGCAAGCTACTCCTACTGCAATTTGGCAGATTGGTTTGCCACCAGGCTCAAGGTTCACTCAGCCTTCCATCCTTCCGAGGTGGGTAAAATGAGGACTCAAATTGTTGGGGGCAAGAGGCTGACACTGTAAACCACCTTGAGAGGGCTGTAAAGCATTATAAAGTGGTATATAAGTCTAAGTGCTATTGCTATATCAATTTCTGAACCATTCAGGCTCATGTGAAACTAATGCATAAGCACATTTAAACCCAGGGCAGAAGTGTTTCAAGTTCCATCCTCTGTAGCTTGGAGGAAATAATCCCCACTTCTTTATGAAATGTTGGGTGTGGATGTCTTGGTTGGACCAAGCTCTCCTGTCTGTGATTGGGGAAGGGGCAGGTAGAGGCAGGTGGGCAGTTGGAGCTCCATCCAAAGGAGCTTCCTGCTCCTTTGCCGAACTACCTGTTGGAAAGGGTTTTATCCAGTGCTGGGCGGCTGTGTGTTCTCTTTTCCGCGGAGTAGTTAGTCTGTGCTTGAAAGAACATAGGAGACTGAATAAAAAGCCAAAACTGGCCATACTTGTTTTGTTGCTGTATATTCTATGCAGGGTTTTTTGATAAGCTGCAAGAAGAGTGAATCTGAGATATTAAAACGGGGATAGGGGGAATAAGCTGCATATATATATATATCTTAGAAAGAATTCGCCGTTCCCATTCAGAATGCGAGACCCAGGATCATCCAGAGAGGCTGAGTTGGTTAAGAGAAATGGTGCTGTCTCACTTCTCACTACTTTGTCGGAGGCTGGCTTGTGCCTGCACGAATGGGTAAACGTGAACGTATCTTTTTTTCCGTTCCTAATTGGAGAAACACTAACTGTTCAGAAAAGAACTAGGGCATTTTATCAGTTCATTCAGCTAATGGGGATGAAAGGGAGGTTCTTAAAAGATTTTGCTTGATTGCTTTCCTTTCATACTGTACAAATGTTCTTATTCTGTTATAAGTGGTGCTAAAATATAAGAGTAATCATTTGCTTCCTTGGTTTTGCAGCAATATATATGTCCTTATTCCAGGACATATAAATGAAAATTCAATAGAATATTATGGGACATTTAATCAGTTCCTCGAATCACTTTCTGTGCTGATCTATTAAAGGTGGCTTTAATCCTAAGAAGCATTTGTGTTAATGATGCTATTGTTTTTGAGATCTTCGGTTAAGCCCATTGTATTTGTGGCTGTCTGCATTGCCTACTGTAAAGCTAAGCAAGTTCATAACTTTGAGCCAGTCCTTGTCACAAGAGAGTTCCAGCAATGTAGGCTATGCGGCTCAATTCCTTTAACAAGTATTTCACCAATTCAGATTAAGTTACAACTTGGCCTATCATAGGCAGGTGCAGTTTTGACCGATTCCCGTAGATGGCTGTATAATCTAAACCTATTCTCTTGTGAGAATCTTTTAATGCCTAATGAAAATGTGCATGAGCAACTAGAAGCAAATTGCCACATTCTAAGGCTAACTTCTATGGCAAAGGGGTCTTGGCATACAGTAATACCTGAATGAATGTTAAGAAGAGTTCCTAACTACAAAGACATCTGGCAATGGAACCAACCCTGCCAAGAGAGCAGGGCCAGCTTGCTTGGATGCCTTCAAGTAGACGCTGGAACTGTCATCCGGCAGGGATCCAACTCCATCTGCTCAATGGCCCCCACCCACCTGCATTCTCCTTTAGAAACATGTCCTGCACGGAGCTTTACAGTAGGCATACAGTAGGTATATAACAATCATGTTTGAATATCAGTTTTTCTAGCTACCCAAGAAACTTGCTGAATGTCACTCCTCTTGGTTTCCTGCCATTAAAAGACCTCTTTCTGGCAGCTCTGCTTCGTTATTCCATTTATTCTTCAAAGCGTTGTTTCCCAGCTGGAAGAATCCTCATCAAGAGGCATTTTCCTTCCAACATTAGTAAATAGAGTATTAGTACTACGTATAAAACAGAGTTTAAATGAATTTTAAAATACTCAAATATTTGACTAGTTTAAATAAGAAAACTGAGTACGTTGCTTGCTGTCTGGGTCCTTCCTTCCTTCCTCCCTCCCTCCCTCCCTCCCTCCCTCCCTCCCTCAATTCAGTCTTGGACAAAGGAACCAGATTGGGAAAAGTTGCAGCAGCTTTAGATTAGATTAGATCAGATTTAACTTTATTGTCATTGCCATGAATACAGGCAATGAAATGCAGTTAGCATCCAACCAGAAGTGCAAAACAAAAGTAAAATATAAATATATGTATGCAAATATGCAAGGCATCTATGAATATGTCACTGGAAAACACAACAAAACGTATGTACACGAGCACACAAGGATAAGTGTGACTGCACATATATGAGCATATGCAACTTAGGGAGAGCCGGTGGGAGAAGTGCAGCCAGCCAGCAGGTCTCTTGTCTCCTTTTATTGAAGCAAAAGGATTAGCTGGCTCAGGGGTGTCCGAGGTGCTTTGGAGTTCAACCCCCCACCCCACCTCACCCCCAAAAAACAACGGGGATTGGATTGGCTGGAGTCTAATGTCCTTTTAAATGAATTCCTTGTTGTGTTATCATGACAAAACCACCCTGGGGTAAATCTGAAAGGCCATTTCAGAGGAGCCTGGCTGTCTTAATATGCACTCACCCTATTTTGCTGCCTGAGATGGTTCAGTCCTGCTTTGCATACATTTGTTCCAAAGTGCATCCATATGTGCTTCCCTCGCTGCTGCTCCCCCCCACCCCAAGAGCCGCTGTATTTCATCGGGTGCATTTGACATCCCGGATGGGCACCTGGCCTGGGACTGTAGCAGTGCCCTTTCCCAGGCAGGCATGTACTGCGCATACCCAACCCCTGGAATGAGCAGCGCCACTTGGATGTACAACTACTCTGGGAAAAGAGTGAGGTTGTCTTTCTTTTGATCAGAGAGTCTCCACAATCTCCCCGGTCACTCAGAAGGTCGCCTCAGCCAGCCAGGCGGTGCATCTGCTGGTGTGAACTGGAGCCCTTTCGGCCCTGTCCTTGAGGGTAGGGTGGATTTTCTGACAGGTCTGTCGTTGATTCCGAGGTGCCATTCTGAGGCCAGTTCAATACTGCGTGCTTCAAGAGGGGAGCCAGTGTAGTCAGAGTTGTCTCTGAATGATTTCTAAGACTGCTGGGATGCTCTTTCCAATCTGGAGTTTCAGATATTCTCAGGATTAGCTACCAAATGATTTGGGGGGAGGGTTAGTAATATGTAATATTGTTCAAAAATTTGAGTTAACATTTATATCAAAAATTATCCATTGCATTAATGATTATGCTCCCGGTTCAGAAACCTAAGACTCTAAAATAGGGATTTCTTGTTAGTTAGTGTGATGTAAATTGCATGCATGATTATTGCATATCATATAATAAAACGTACACATTTTAATCTTTATGCCCTGATAAATTATGTAAATAAGCCATGTTGAGTCTCAGTTACATCCACGGTGCAAATAATCTATAGTTATTGTCGAATCTTTTCTACGCATTGATGGGGATTGTGAAATCTCCTTGGATACTGGAGTTGGGTGACTAACCTTTTATTTGAAGCCATTTTAGCAAACACTGAATAGTTCTGGATTGACAAATAATCTGACAGCTCAGACTAAGAAATGCAGGTTGGTGTCAGGACTGGATAGAAATTGCTTGTTCTTTTTAGTGGTTTCTCCAGGGCAAAAGCGAACTCCTGTAGTTGTGATTTTGTTTCCTTCCCTCCTGCTAAAATCATTTGGAAGCTGAGCTGGGTAGTCACAGTTACTTCTCTCAGTCGTAACCTAACAGCTTGGGTGAAGTATTGATTTTACTCTTCCTTGAGCCCAGGCTGTTCCCCTTTGTTCTGGGCGGAAGGGATGGCTTTGCTGTTATTAAGTATTTCCAGACATATGGCGGAGGAGGGAAGTGGCCCTAAAACCTGTCAGGGCTGGAGACTTCAAAGCATCTGCTTGTTGCTTTTCAAGAGCGACTTGTGAACTGGAAGAAAATTGAATGAGAAGTCCCCATTTCATTAAACTCCATGCAAACACTATTGTACATTTTACTAAAGGGTGCATACTCATAAAACTTCTATCTTTAAAGTGTATGGCACAATATGTTAAAAGCCTTACACTTTTGTGGCATTCAGGTAAACAGGCATCCAGTGCATCACTCAGTGCCTCCTTGGGCGATGGTTCCCTCCCTGCCAGCCTTTGGACTGACACCAGAGCCCTGCAGCCTGTTCCTGGCTCAGTTCAGGGCAGCTGAGGTTGGAAGCTTTGGGACCGGCTGCCCAGCTGGGCTGAGCCCAAGACAGCGCAATGGTGCCTTTTTAAAGTGTGGTTCTTGGTAACATGCATTTCGAACTAAGCAGGTAAAGGCTTTAAGCTCTTTTGCTCAGCATCACCACAACCGGCTTCTTGGAAAGAAAAAGGACCACGTTTCCTATGTAGCAGAAATTTCATGGCATCTCAATTAAACCGACCATATGGTGAGCAACTAGATAAAGCGAGAGCTACAACTATAAGAATTCAAGTATTTCTTATCAAGTTTAAACAACACAGAGCAAAAATAGCCTCCTGACAGCCAACAGTTGGAAGCCAGGGGTGGGATTTAACTGGTGTTATTACCGGTTCAGTGACTACGTTTTGCCTCTATTTTCCTGCCTTTTCAACCTCAGCTGTGCCACGCAAAGGTAAGAGCCTGGGCGGAGGGTGGGTGGGCCAAACAGCAGCAAACACAGAACTGGTTCGGTGTTTGCTGCTCTTCAGAGCTACCAGTTCCATAGAGCCGAGCAGAACCGGTAGCATCCCACCCCTGGTTAGAAGCCCATTTTCCGGGTGATGGCTCAGTTGCTTGAGGTCCCACCTTGACTTCATCTTTACCCTCAGTAGCTAAAGGGGACACAGATCTCTGTGTCTGAGAAGAGCTGGGCCAGGTATGTGATGTGGAGCCTGGTGGGGTTGGGGAGGCCAGAAAAGGACCCACCCCTGCCCATTCTTCCAGCAGATCTTCATCTCTTCACACCTCTGAATTGGTCCAGATATGAAAAGAAATATGCATAGTTTTTTTTTAATTGCTGAACACAGGATACACACACAAATGCACGTAGAAACACAATACATTTACCAAGGGCATGATTTCCCTGGTTTTTGCCTGTCTATAATGGTATGGCATCTGGATGCCCAAGGAATTTTCTGCAGGCCTCCTTGAAAGATTCTAGCTAAACCAAGCAGGCAGTTGCATTCCTCGGTGGTTAGTGAGGAGGAGAAGGAAGGTTGCTTTGTACTGGATTTGGGTTTCTGCTCAGCCTGGGTCTGAAATGTGCTGGCAAATATCTCCATGCTGAAAATCCAAAATAATGTCTTGGTCAACTTGTGGCACTAAGCGTAGAACTGGCTACTTACAGACTGCTTAATCTTACCATCTCAGTCAGCCTTTTCTTCTTTTACATTTTTGTGTGTAAGAACACAATAGAATAAAACCTGTGATTAACCAGGGTGGGAGGAAAAACTGACAACCGTCTGCAGGTGACTTGAGAGAACTGGTTTTAATTTGTGTGTGGTTCTCACTGTAACAAATGAAACTTGCTTTTTGTTTTAGAATTGGCAGACTGTTTCCCAACATCTGGACTGAATGAAGTCTGAGACCACATCAGTTGTGTTTTGCTACAAAAATTCTTTGATCAAAATCCAGACTGAAAAAAGTACAGTTTGATATTGCTGTTTGAGGGGGAGGGTTGGAAACTGCTTAAAAACGAGGTGCAATTCTCAACTTCTATGTTCCACCGGAGCCTTTTCTGCTGCTCTTTTCTGTCTGTAAAAACATGGAGCTGTCAGAATTTTGTTGTGCAGAGTTTTCCCCTCTTCCTTGTTCAAAACATACCAAAGGAATCTCAGGTTTATTTCTAAGAATAGTGAATCGTCCTCTCTCTTTCTCCCTTCCTCTCCCGCTATGCCGTTCAGTGGCAGGCCATGACTAGAAGGGATGTTTCTTTCAGCTAAAACCTCAAGTGGGATATACTGTGTGTGGGCACAGGCAGCTCTTGACTTACAACCATTCATTTAGTGACCATTTGAGGATACCATAGCACTGAAAAGAGCGGCTTATGACCCTTGTTCATGTTTACGGCTGTTGCAGCATCCCCATGATGGGGATCAAAATTTGGACCCTGAGCAACTGGCTCGAACTGATGACCTTTGCAGTGTTCTGGGGTCTTGTGATCCCCTTTTGTGGTCTCCTGACAGACAAAGTCAAGGGAGAAGCCAGATTCACTTAATAACCATGTTACTTATTTAACCTCTGCGGTGAGTCAGTAACTGTGACCAGAAAGTAAAACTGGGTGAAATTCATTTCAGTGTCTTGCTTAACAACAGAAGCTTTGGGCTCAGGTGTGGTTGTAAGCCAACCATCTGTACCAGATGTGAACTCCCCCCAAAGCCCTTAAGGGCCCTTGGAGACCTGAGGCTTCATATTCAGACTGTGTTCTCTGCCTGATTATGACTGGACCCTTTTCTGCTGCTGTAGGTTTCTCCTTTTCTCCCTTTCACTTCACGGATTTAGGTCTATGCACCTTCTCCCGATTCAGATGACTTTAATAGAGAATCTCCAAGTTATTCATCTCCTAAACCACCTAGCAGTATGTTTGCTAGCACTTTCTTGTTACAAGGTAAGAAAGTTTTTGCTGACATTTTCAAAGTAGATACAAGAGAAAAGGAATAAATAGCGTTTAGTAACCAAATAAATGAGAGTACAATTTATAATGTTTATGCTGTCTGAAGTCAAGAGAATCATGATATTCATAGGATGTGAATTGGTAATAGCAGTTTAAGTAGATCTAATTAGCATTTTTTTCTTATGGTTTGGGCATTTAAAATAGACAGTTGGGCTTTCATTTTATGACATCTCTGTCCCTTATAGAATAACTGCAACAGCATCATTGTTCCCAGGGGCTAAAGGAGGTAATCTTAGCAGTCTTGACTTTTTCTGGATTCTTAGATGTTTAGCCTGCTTCTTAGTCACAAGGTTCCCAAGGAGGTGAGCATAAAATACAGGAGATTGTTAGGTAAAACAAAACTGGCAAGCAACAATTGCATCTGTACCAACGAGGTTTACAGTGGTTCCTTGGTTCTCCCTGATTCAAGTAGACTTCTTGTGCCAGTTACATATCCTCTAGAACAGGGATCCCCAACCTTTTCGACGCCGCGGCCCGGTACCGGCATCAGCTGGGCGCCGTGGCCCGGTACCGGCATCAACTGGGCGCCGCCATCTTTTTTTGACGAAAAAGTGCTTCCGGTGACCTCACCGGAAGCACTTTTTCGTCAAAAAAGATGGCGGCGCCAGCGCTTCCGGTGAGCTTTTCCGGGTAGAAAGGCATTTCTACCCAAAAAAGCTCACCGGAAGCGCTGGCGCCGCCATCTTTTTTGACGAAAAAGTGCTTCCGGTGAGGTCACCGGAAGCACTTAGCTAACAAAAAAAAAAGGCGCCGCCATCTTTTTTTGATGAAAAAGTGCTTCCGGTGAGCTTTCTACCCGGAAAAGCTCACCGGAAGCACTTTTTTACCAAAAAAAAAATGGCAACCAGCGGCCCGGTAAGAGTTGTTCCGCGGACCGGTATCGGTCCGCGGACCGGCGGTTGGGGACCCCTGCTCTAGAAAAAGGATCTAATGGCACTTGCTTCTTTTACTGCAGTAAAATGGTCACTACTATACAGGGAGGTTATTTAATTATGCAAAATCTCTTTGTCAACGCAGACCAAGCTGAAAAGGCCAATCCAAGATTCTGAAAATATGTTTGCCAGGACACATGTCAGTGTCAGATCCGTCTCTTATTTTTTCAGTTTCTCTTTTAAGAAACTAGGTTCTCACACTTAATATGCTGCTGTTCTGCACAGCTTTTGTGCGCTTAGGATTGTGTTGTCCTTGGCTAGTGAATAGGCCATTCCCTGAAAATACTTGTTGTTCTGATTTCTGTTTGACTTTCTCTGGGAAATGCTATTTTGCTGGGCAAGACTCGGAAACCAAGAAAGTAAAGTTATAAAACGAGTCAAGCTTCAGATGGTTAGACATCTCTAACTGAGTTGAAAGGATGGGAGGAAAGGCATGATCCGTGGGGCACCCGCATGCTCGTCCTTTCTGAGCCACTCCCCCCCTCCCCCATTCTCAAGCCTGTTGCAGGCCCTGCTCTTTGCCTGTTCCTCAATGCAGGGCTGAGTTTCTGAAGAGTAGAAATTGATAACTGTGCCTGATTTTCATCCAACAATAAAGATGGGACCCATGTCGCTCCTGAACTTTGGAGCCCCTCCCATGGAATGAGACAGTCAGGTCCTGGTGGAATGCTGGAAAGTCCTTCTCACCTGTCGCCCTCCGGTAGTTACGGCAGCCAACATCCCCACGAGCGCCAGGTAAGAGGGTGCCACGTGTCCCTGCATAATCAGCTAAAGTAGAGGCCGTGGGAAAATCAGTAAACTGTGGATCAGAGCGAACTCACTACTGGTCTCCGGAATGGTTCGGGGTTTTCAGGAAGTTCGTCTTCCAAAGCCGAAGAGCTTCTTCTGGTCTTCAGGCATGGCGCGGCTCTCATCCTTGGAGTGGCCTGATCAGGCTGTGCAGCAATTCAGATTGGTAGGGAGAAAATTGCTTCAGAGCTTGCTTGTCTCTACACATGGTGCCTCTTGGCACCTCAGTTTAATAACGTATGGACTGGTTAGAATGTATTGTATATATGGTGTTTGATACTATTTATATTTTCCATGCCAGTCAAGTTGACCAACAACAGCAATCATAAGGAGCTTTCTAAAATTGTGAATCAGCAGCAGAAACAATTTTTGCAGAAACACAACATGATAGCCACAAGAATGAAAAAAATTTGTCCTGTGGTTGCACAATTCAAATAGATTTTAAAAAGGAACTCCTTTTTATCACACTGAACAATATTCCATATTTACAAGGCAATGCACTGTCGAGGATTGAAAATAAAACAGTATATATATATAATCTGCCTCATAATATCTGCAGTATGCTTACATCAAAAAATGAATAAAGCACAGTTCTTGCTGTAAAGAGGGCTGAGAAGGGTCACTTTGGGCCTAATGGGACGTTGGCTTTCTGTTTCACAAATGAGATTGGATGAGCACTGAGCTCCTACACGCCTTTCATGCATCCGGTTGCTTATTGCATTTGAGCCCGCTAACCGTAAGAATTGTAAAACTAAGTTTTAGAGTTTGTTACCAGAATTCAGGCTTCCGTTTGCTGAAGTGTTACGAATTTCAGTTTTAACCAGTACCTGTAGCAGCATCTGCAGAATGATGGGGCCCTAGTTTTTATTTCCAGCTGATGGAGAAAGAGAGTTTCCCATTATCTCCAAACGGCCCCACCTCCTTCCTTCAGTCAGCATTGACTTTAATGCCTAAAAATAAAATCTCCACATTCAGAGATGATGGTGGATTATTGAGGCAAAGTATTATTCTGCCCTTTGCTTACTTCCTGAACTCTGGTTTAGTTTGGATGACCACTGTGCTCTTTTTAACCAAGAGTTTAGGGTTACTTTGAGTTTTGCTAATACGAGATTGCCACTCTTGTTCCCTCCTTGCCCTGGGATTCCATTTCTGCTTTCTCCTAGAGTTGTCCTCCTCATTCAGCCTCACCAACAGATGGAAGCCTTCCGCCAATGTCCAGCTTCCACCGGGGCAGTAGCAGTAACTCACTATATGCTGCCGCCACCTCTCATACTCCACCAGTCAACAGATCAGAGACCAGTCTGCTTGGTAAGATCTCTGGGTCTTAAAATTATCCATAAAAAGTATAGCTGATTTAGTTATAGTTAAGTCCTGATAGTATAATTATCTGCTAAAACTGTACAAAAGGTTTGTCAGCTGGCAAGACTTACAATGTTGGTATTTTCAGGGTTGGAATATTTTCACATCTCTCTTCATTTGGTCTCCACTCTGAGAGCACAGCCTAGAAAACATTTTTCATACTTGTGGATCTATTCACCAAGCTGGTGTGATGGGTCTTAGATGGCATTGTATGTCAGTCTGGATATTATTTGTGCACTGCTCCAAAATGTGTGACAGGCAATTGTTTTGAAAAAGTGATTGGACCAGGAATCATTTATCTTTGATGGTAGTTGAAATATGATTATAACTTCTATTCAGGAAGAACATATATTTACCTAACGAATGAGCTTCAGTTTTCCCCCAGATCCCAGATTTATAGATCTCATTGAGGTGACATTTCACTTATTCATACATTTGGTGTGTTTTGTGCACTCTGATTGGTGATTCTAAAGTCCTTTCTGTGATTTCTTATAAAGATATGAATTTAAAAAAGAAGACGGGGATTCAGTCTTAAGCAGCGTGTTTTGGGCTATTTAACTGAAGTGTTCCAAACCACTAAATTATTTATTTGTGCAAATGTGAACCTGAAAAGCTGTATGATGCTTATTCAACATGATGGGACCAATGTAGTAATCCAGGACTAAATAGTTGGTTAGGCAGATGAGTTTTCCTAGCTTGAACAATACTCCTTGAGGATCAGATTGCCCCAGCAGCTTCATTTTCATTCTGACTGGTACTGATAGGCTAGCAGGCAGCAAAACCGGGTCCGTAGACAGAGAAGTATAAATTCACGTACACAAGGAAGCATGAAAGTGGTGGCTCACCTTCTCAGTAACACATCAGCAATAAAGGTGGAACATGTCTCTTGTCATTGGATCCCTATGTCCAAGTGGCTGAACAGACAATTTAGAAGACCAAGATGTTTTGCCTGAAGACTTTTGAAAATAGGAACATATTTGTCTAGCCTAGCATTCTCCTCCCACAGTGGCCATTCGTTAGGAAGGATCCTGAATTTGCTCTTTCATGAAGGTTAAATGCTGCACCTGGATCTGGCATTCAGACCTAAAGTTACTTCTGTTTTCCATAGATTTTGGACATGCCACTACCATTCTTCTAATCTCCCTCACCTGAAGGGTACAACGTTTGAAGGGCCCTTGGCTTCTTTATAGGCAGAACTAAGGTTCACAGAGAAACTGCAAAGTTTGATGTCCTCACCGAGGTCAGAGCTTCTGCTTCTGCCATTGCCAGGGGGCTCAGAGGGAGAACGCCTCAAGGTCTTACCCCTCCCGGGCCAGGGGTAAGGCTTCTCCAAAGGATACCCAAGTCCATCCCGCATAGCATGGAACCGTTTTAGTTACTCTGTCAGGGAAATCCAGGATGTTTTAGATTGAGGCCTCCTGCGTTGATTGGGGATTGCAGTCAATGGGCTGTAACATTGACATACATTTTTAAAGCATAATAATGCTACCTTTGAAAAGGTTGCAGATGAGCACGAGTAAGGCCTATTCTGTACGGACGTGTATTTTAAATACCAAGTGTGAATATTTTCTTACCTTTGTACCACGGATGGAAAAAAATGTTTGGATTTGCGTTTTAATTCTTGACCATAATAAGACCAGGGTAGGGCAGGCAGCCCGTTTACCTAGGTCCCTAAAGTGGAGACTGATCCATGGCACAGCTCCAAATGGAGGCGGTTGCCTCTCCTTGCTGCACGTTCTGGAATTCCAGGGGGTGGGAGAAGCAATTCAGGGGGTGCTTTGGGGCTCTGCGGTTGACTGTAGGGTGGGAAAGTTTGCTTTCCAGCACGCTTGGAAGGAAGCCCCTTCTTTCTCTTAGCTTCTTTGCAAACTCGGCTTGCCTGTAGTTAAGAGGATGTGCTTTTCCCCTTTGAGAACAGCAGCTCAGGGGTAATTCCGGGTTTCCCTTCCTGATCTCTCTCTTCCTCTTCCCCCATTTTGCTCTCTTAAGTCCAGTCCAGGGGTTCTCACCATCTGCACCACATAAATGTTGTGTTGCCTTTCTCTTTACAGTTGAGAGAGGGAATCCTGCTGGAGGTTCACAGACTGGGGATGCCCTTGGAAAAGCTTTGGCCTCTGTAAGTAATTGTATGTGGAGCAATTCCGTGAAGGACCCAAACTCCATATACAAATTCTTGCCCTTCAGACTGCCTCGAGTAGGATCTCAGTGAGCAAACACAGGATGCATCTGGAGGTGTCTATGGCCAGGCAATCCCAGGGCGGCTTGGATTTGAGAGTGGCATTCCCATGAATCTGTGATTGATGTTCTAAAATTCGTTTACACCTAAAGTTCCTTTCAGGCACATTACCTGCAGGCATGGCAGCAAACTCTAACCGCCCCCCCCCCCCCAATAGGCAGGCAGAGGGGAGCGTGCAAAACCTAAAGCAGAAGACAAAGTGATTAATTATGTGCTGTAAAACTGCATTGCTGAAGGCTTTATATTTCCCAAGACTTTCTGAAGAGCTCTCCTGTACAGAATTGTTTCTTTAATGCCATTTATATTTTAAGCTGTGACCCTTGAAATATTCCTCTACAGATTTACAACAGGGGCGGCTAATAAAATGGAGTAGCATAGCATAGCACACAGGAAAGCTGTTGATTGTCCAGAGGTGAAGAAATGCATTCATCATGAGAAGTCCATTCTACAATTAACTGCATGGCATAGGCAGTGGTTCAGTGTTGCAGCTACCTTGCCTGGAGCAGCTTGGCCCTAGAGTTTCCTCCCCAAAGTTTCCTCCTGGGGTTGGCTCCCTCCACAGAGGAGGAGTCGGTTCCCTTAGAAATGGGAGGGAGATAGTAATACTGGATGCAGCCACAGTTTACTAAAGGCCTAGTATGAACGGGTACTGTTGGAGGCAGAAGAGAGGAGTTTAGTGTGTGCAGGGAAACAAGCAGTTTGCATAATTGGAAGGTAAGGAAGCCCTTCGCCCTCTTGGTGCTGCTTGACATGAGCTAGCAAATCAGTTCACAATTGTCCGCCTCTCAGCCCTGCACAGCAGAGCAGACCTGGGTTTTCCCTCACCCGGAGATGGGTGTTCATTGCCCTCTGCTACTCTTGAGAAAGGAGGCGTGTGGGTGAAGGAACCCCTGTACTTTGTCCATCGGCTTTAAACCTGTCCGATGAAGCAATAAACCATCCTGAAATTGTAAAGCTGCTGCCTTTCTCTCCTTTTTAAATGTTGCCATTAATAATAGAAATAAGATTGCGTCTGATGTGGTGCTTTTTAAAAAAAATAACAGGATGCAACATTATTTGTTTCTAAATCTAAATACCAAATTCCTTTCAAAATACTCCATGGTTAAAAAAGAAAGGTTAGTTAATACATTTGCAAAGGTCCTTTTATTTTAGATTTAAGCCTGGATAATTGCAGTGTTAGTCTTAAAGCTGGAAAGAAAGAGAATTGTACATGAAAGTATTTACCCAAAGCTCTGAAAGCCCAATGGATTACACTTGGGCTTGGATAATGAACGTGTGGATAGAAAGCAAAGAAAATCTGGGCATGTCTACCATATCTAATGTGCCTCCCTGAATATTTGCCAAACAATAATTCCATAGATAGCGCCCATAGGGAGTTACATGGCGAGAGAAGCATCTGGTTTATGTCAGTGTTTAATGGAAAAGTAAAACACTTGGTTTTTAATTTAAAGAAGATCAAATCAGAGGTTTTTCTTTAATGTTGTTGGTTATATCAAATCTCTTTGTCCAAATCTACATTTTGCTTCCTACTTCCAGTTCAGAGAGAGCAGCCTTTGTGCAGCTTGGGTAGCCCAGGGCTTCACGGTCTCTGAACAAAGAGGGGGAAACATTGGGAAGTTGATTTTTCCAAGTGATCCTTGAATGGCTTGTATTGCTTGAGGCCCACTAGGATGAGGACATGGGCATTTTAAGTCCCTCTGTTAACAGCTCAGAGCCTGCAGCTGCAGCCTTGGTGACTTGGCCTTTGCCAATCCTGATGGAGTTTAAATTCCTCATGTTTTGTTCCTGGTCAGGTGTGCATTTAAGGTAAACAGTAGCATTAGGACCTATTATATAAGAACTATAGGAACTGCATTGGGGAGAGAATTGCAAGGAATTACAGTTATTGATAGAAGGGAATATTTGTCCCTGGGGTTGAACCGTGGGGTCCTTGGTGCTCTCTGACCCTGGCTGTTTTCTTGCAGGCATTTAAATACCAAACTAGCTAATATCATCAGTCCTAAGTGTGGTTTGCTCTCAGTTACCAGGTTGAACATTTCTAGACATTTCATTTTCTTCAATTGTTGTTCAGCTGAATTTTTTAATGTGTAGATTCTAGTATATCAAATAGTTCAAATGGTTGTGATATTTCTTTTTTCCCCAGATTTATTCTCCTGACCACACTAGTAGTAGCTTCCCTTCAAATCCTTCAACACCTGTTGGATCACCATCCTCTCTCACAGGTAGTGCCCATCTCCTCCTCCTTCTCTTTTGAAATCTTGTAAGACCTGGTTTTCTAGCATAGAGATGCACTCTGATAATTGTGCTGCTGTTTTGTTGGCTCTCTGCTCTCCAGTAAACATCAAAGAGCTGCTGAACGTGTGCAGACAACCTGTGAATGCCCCTTTGGCCAAAATGTGTTATTTAAGGTGCTCCCATTCAGGAGTTTGGGAATCAGTCATTACTTTTCTGGGATGGTTATCTCCACTCCACCCCCAGCTTTCAGTCAGCATACTGTGCTTCGTCCTTGCTGGGCTCCACAAAGAAAACCATTCCAAATTGCGTATAAAAATAATAGAAAGCTCTTTATAAATCAGAAGATGCTGGCAGCAGTAGGGTATGTTTCTCCTGCACGTGCCATGCTTCAGTGTTGATTTTGACAGGTGCTGGTCAATGGTCAAGAACTGGAGGACAAGCCCCTTCGTCTCCAAGCTATGAAAACTCTTTACATTCATTGGTAAGAATTGCTGGGTGACTGGTCGAGAAATGGCTTTCTGTTTTTATTGATACAAATCTTACTTATATGTTCATTTCCTCTTAACAGAACCAAGATACTTATTTTAATGTAGGTTGCCTTTCAAAATCATTTTCTTGGGGAAATGTACAGTGCATTAAAATCATGTTTCCTTTTTTTAAAGCAAATTCAGCAATAATTAAAACTAACATCAAAATAAGTTTTATCTTTGGGAGATTCTTACATTGAGTTAAAAATAGTGTAATTCTGCTTGCCACTTACATTATTACATCAGCATCGCTCTTGTTCATGGACCATTGGTCTCAAAGGATATTGCAGAATTTGAAAATATGCCAAAAGGCAATTGGTATAACGAGAAAGGGGGTATATTGCATTGGGCTCTTCAGCACAGAAAAATTAAGGATAAAAACCCTCAGTGTGTGTGGAGTGAAATGAGATCCAGACGTGGGACCATCGGCCTGGAAGGCGTTTTGGGGTATGAATCCAGAGCGGTGGCTCCTGGCCGCTGCCTCTGGGTTCTGCGGAAGAGGGAGGAGGTCCCCACTAAATCCCTTGGATGCCTCTGTGGAGGGGAGGCGGTGATAGGAATTAGTGCAAAAACTCTCAGTCCTGCCTCAGAAGCAGAAGAGAAAAATGTGTACAATATTGATGAAGCATTTTAAGATCTCTCGAGGTAATACAAATACAGTAATTTGCCTGTTGCCTTCCATTGCGAATGTACATAAGCAGTCTTTTTTTATCCCCTTAGTTTCCATTTTCATTCAATCTTTGTGGAATCAACTTAACTAACCACTGAGGCTGACCTGCACGCCAGCTATTTACCTCAGCTCTTTATCCTTACTTAACTTGTGCTTTGTTTCTTGTTCTGTCTTGACTTTGCCAGAAAAATCGAGTTGAGCAACAACTTCACGAGCATTTGCAAGATGCTATGTCCTTCTTAAAAGATGTCTGTGAGGTACTGTTTCTCTTCAGAGGGTACCTTTTGGGGGTTTTTTAGGGTGGTGGTGGTTAATTTTACTTACAGATTTTTAAAAGTAACAGCCCACCCTATTTACTTTGGCACAGCTGATGCATCTCTTCCTTCCATCCGTCTTCAACTTTAAACTGTAAACAGGCTTTTTATGTTTGAATGCTCTTTTGCATACTTTATTTGAACAATCAGTGAATATATGGCAAGATAAATGCTGGCATGAAACCAGGAAAATCTGATTTGAGAGTTCAAACCTGAAAGCAAACTACTCTCTCTCAACCCCCTCCCCCCTTTCCTGCCTTTTGCATCCTGGCAATAATGGTCAAATTGAAGCTCTTTGGGAAGAGAAGGACCGGATCCTGATGGGACCGGTGGCTTGCTGCTCATTCACAGCCACCGTGTCTTTCGGCTGGGAACAGATCAGGGCCACAGAGGCTCTGCCCGACTCTTGGGAGTGGCCAAGGGAAAAAGGAAGAGTTTGCAGGGTGTGTTGATGGAACTTGGAACCTGTTTTTAATACTAATCTCCACTGGCTATTTCTGCTTGTGTCATTAGTTGCCTAGAAAACAGTCATCTTGTCAAAGTCAAATTACAATATCATTTTTCCTTTTTAATCCCCATTTAGAGTTTTGCTTCTTTCTTTTAAGCTTTATTCCAGAACACCAAACAAGATTCGTTTTGTAGTTCACCTCTCTTTTGTTTTGGAGCCAGAAGTGTTACCCTCTCACACAGTTGCTGGTTGCATTCTGGCTGTTTTTGAAGTCCTTTTGATACCACTGCATTCCCTGGCTGCCTTTCCCATTTCCCATTGTAGAATGCCTGGGAATTGAATGGAATAAACCGCTGCGTGCCATAAATGACCTTCCTGCCCCTCTCAATCCCAACAGCAGTCCCGGATGGAAGATCGCCTGGACAGACTTGATGACGCCATCAATGTGCTGAGAAGCCACGCCGTGGGGCCTTCGACGAGCCTGGCCGGGGCCCACGGAGAGATGGAGGGCTTATTGCGGCCATCCCACAGTGGGCCTGTTAGCACTTTGAACGCCACTTACGGCACGCCTGGCCTGGTCATAGCCAGTAGACAAGCCTGGATGGTGAGCTTCTGATCGTTCTTTATTAGGCAGAGCCTTGTGACTGAACACCCTACCTTCCTTCCCTGGTTTTGGTCCAGATGGCACTCTGGGCCCCATGAGACGCCTGGAAGAGGACAGGTCCCTCTACTTGGTTATCTCTGGAGATTCTTGGTCATCCAGATCATGGTTGTCCCATGGTTGTGCCTTCTTCAAGAGGGAACTGGACTTTTTTTTTTTTTTTTTGAAGATGTTTCACTTCTCATCCAAGAAGAAGAAGCTTCTTGGATGAGAAGCAAAACGTCTTCAAAGAAAAACAAGAAAGTCCTCTTGAAAAAGCACTGTTAGGACCTCTGCTTGGTTCTTACATCTTCTCATGCCCTGCTCCATTCTTCATACTGTCATATCTCTCCCTCTCTCTCTCCCCCTCTCCCTCTCCCCCCCCTCTCTCTCTCTCTCACACACACACACACACATCCTTGACCACAGCATCGCAGCACCTCTGCAGCTCTTAAATAGCACATAGGCCCATCCTTAAAGAATGTACACAAGGCAGGAAACAAAGTGGAGGCTTATCAGTCAAAGACACAAGAATGGATTCAGAGGGCTAAAATGGAAGAACTTGCCTTCTACAACCATTGAAGTATAAATATTGTGAGAGTGATATCCTAGTCCACAGAACATCCCATGCGTTGCTTCCAGGAAGGGCACTCCAGCTCATTCCAGGTGCAGCCTGTGATTCTACTGCCTCACAAGCTGTTGCCACAAGCCTTGTTTTCTCTTCCTTCCCAAAAGTCAGCCACAGGGCCTTTCTTCTGCTGGGAGGGAAGCTTCTGCAGAAAGTGTGATGGAGTAGAGACCCTCAGAAGCCCCCACTGCTGGCTCACTGAGTTCCCACAACTTTCTCGGGTGGCATACGCATGCTATTTCTGCTGTAGGGTTGCAGTCAGAACAATTGCAAAAAGAGTCAGGATGATTGGATATTGCTGACCTCACGCCAAGCTGAATGGTGATCTGTGTCTGTGCTGCCTTTGTCCTAGGTCAACACACATCGGGAAGATGGCGTCGGCCTCCATAGCAATCATTCAGAGCTGTGCAACGCTGGTCCTGCTCAGAATACAGAACTAAGCCATAAAACCCAAGAAAACTATAGAGGTGAGTCACATTTCAATTTCTTCAGTCAGGAAATTAAACGGGACTCTTTGTGAAATGAGTAACGAACGCGAGCCCTTTTCATGGATCGGCAGGATTCCTCCCCTTGGCCACAAAGATGGTTTTTGCTTGCTTATGAGTTGACCAAAGAACTTACCATGCATTACTTCAGATTCCTCGGCTGCATGTCTCCCCAACACATGCATGTGCACACACGCACACCATCTGGTTTTCTAATCTAAAACTTTTTATCTTCCTCATGGAAGAGGTCTTGTAGCCAGTAGCTGTTTGGATTGCTGTTTGTGCAACAGTAATATTCTTTTTCTATGGTGTTTAGACCAGAACGGTGCAAAGAATCGCAAGAGAGGGAAGAATGCTGCTGCACTGGCAGCTTTATCTCCAGTCCCTTTCCGACTTAGTCCTAGCACTGAGTGTGCCTAGAGAACCCTCGGGGGCTTTCCAGAAGTTTCTCATCAAATCACACCCATCTGGACGTTCCACAGAAAGCTCGCACCCACCTCTAATAATCTGCTTTTTTCTTCAACAAGTTTCAAATTGTAACTCTTCAAATATGTCCTAGCACTATTTCATAGGAATTGCTCTAGATTTTGCCTGCCATCCATTAAGAGGATTGGTCACAGCTTCTCTTTTCTAAAGCGGGTGGGGGTTACTGTTCTTTCTTCTTCTATATTGGTTTTTTTCATTGTTCGTAAGCGGCCCAGAGTCACTGAGAGTGACTGGGCAGCCGTATAAATCTTACAAGCAAACACATAAAATAGGCCACGTTGCCCTTTACTGGCTTTCCTTGCAGTGCTGCCCACCGGGCTACCCACCTCCTCAGTAGCTCTGGGCCCGCTAGAAATCAAATCGGAGCACAAGGAGAAAGATGAAAACACACAGGAACCTGCGTCCTCCGATGACATGAAATCCGATGACGAGTCCTCACAGAAGGATATCAAAATCTCCTCCGGAGGCAGGACGAGGTATGTTGGCTTCTTTCCTGCTATCCCAGAAATCAAGTGGATCCCTCCAGGGTGATAAAACTAGTTTCTCAGTAGGTGCCAATTGCAAGGATCCGTCGAATTTCCAGAACATGCAATAGGAAAGGATCTGGTAAGGGATCCTCTCCGTTTCCAGGTGTGGAGGGCTGGCCATCGCCTCCTATGAACAGAGGAGCCAGATGCTCAGTCATCCAGGTCAGGCTTTGCCCCTCAGGTGCTTTTTCAGAAGGCAACTGGACTTGTTTTTTCTTTTGAAGACATTTCACTTCTCATCCAGTAAGCTTCTTCAGCTTCCCCATTATCCTGTCAGAGCTGAAGAAGCTTCTTGGATGAGAAGCGAAACCTCTTCAAAAGAAAAGTTGCCTCCTGAAAAAAGCACCTTTGGGACAAGAGACAGCGGGGGTTCCCTTGGCCTGGGCATCAGGCTGGGGTGGGGATGCCTTGGACAGTCAGGTTTCCTTCTTAATCTTATGTGACCGCATCGCTTAGCGACAGCAGCTCCGGTGGCTGTTGTAACCCCAAGTTGTGTCAGCTGTTAAAAGCGCAGAGGCAGGAGTCTCAAGTAGCGAGCAATGCGGGGGGGGGGGGGGGGGGGGGGGGGGCAAAAGCAGGGGAGATTCACAGAGCTACTTGTCACTTTCCCTGCATTGCTTGCAGAAAATGGGCAGGGATCAGGTCCCTTTGGCATGGTAAACGGAGGGCCCAGGTCACAATCACGTCTGTGATGGCCTTCAGAACTTCAAGGGCTGCTTGCACATCCATTGTCTTAGTGCCACCATAACTTTGAACAATTACGGATTGAGTGGATGGAAGCTGAGGCCTGCCCAGTCTGTTGTCACTTCTGAACCCTCCTGGTCCGTCTGACCCAAGTCACAAGGGCTTCTGGCTGCACTTGCTGTTCGAACAAAGCAGCATATGGCTAAACCTTAAAAGGTTGGCTACCACGGTGGACAAGTAGCAAGGGGAAAGAGGAAGAGTCCTCTTGGCCGTGAACTCTCCCCTCTGTCTCCCCTTTATAACCACGCAGGCCGTGACTTTGTGCCCACTCTTCCCTTGGAGTGTTTGTGACAGAAAATGTACTCCCCAGTGGCTTTTCTGCAGATCAAAGCATGGAATTCCTGCTGTAGGCATTGCTTTAAAAATTCTGGCTGATTATAGGCAAGGCAATACTCAGTACAAATGTGGAAGAATGAAAGTCTCTCCACACCTTTCCTGTTTTTGTTTCAAAAGTAGCACAAACGAAGATGAGGAGCTGAACCCGGAGCAGAAGCGGGAGCGGGAGCGGGAACGGCGGATGGCCAACAATGCCCGGGAGCGCTTGCGTGTCCGGGACATCAACGAAGCCTTCAAGGAACTGGGCCGGATGTGCCAGCTGCACCTGAAGACCGAAAAGCCCCAGACCAAGCTGCTGATCCTTCACCAGGCTGTGGCAGTCATCCTCAGTCTGGAGCAGCAGGTCCGAGGTAAGCTGGGGCAGGGGGCACGAGGGGGGGGGGGGGGAGGGTGTGAAGGCTCCCTTTGCCCCTGAAGGCAAGCACTGCCTGCTCTCCATTGCGGGCTGAAGGTGAGGAGGAGGCAAGCTGGGAGTAATGTCTGTGGTCAGGAAAAGAGGACTTTGCTCAACCAGAGCCACCTTCCTCTAGCAATAGCGCTTACATGCTGCTTCACAGTGCTTTACAGCCCCCTCTAAGCAGTTTACAAAGTCAGCCTCTCTCTCCTCCCCCCACCCCTCCAGCAATCTGGGTCCTCATTTTACTGGCCTCAAAATGAGGAAAGGCTGATGGGATGGTGATGGTATCAGAAGTGGTATCTACAGGTGAAACTCGAAAAATTAGAATATTGTGCAAAAGTTCATTTATTTCAGTAATGCCACTTAAAAGGTGAACCTAATATATGAGATAGACTCATTACGTGCAAAGCAAGATAGTTCAAGCCGTGATGTGTCATAATTGAGATGATTATGGCTGACAGCTCATGAAAACCCCAAATCCACAATCTCAGAAAATTAGAATATTGGGAAAAGGTTCAATATTCTAGGCTCAAAGTGTCCCACTCTAATCAGCTAATGAAGCCATAACACCTACAAAGGGTTCCTGAGCCTTTAAATGGTCTCTCAGTCTGGTTCAGTAGGAATCACAATCATGGGAAAGACTGCTGACCTGACAGTTGTGCAGAAAACCATCCTTGACACCCTCCATAAGGAGGGAAAGCCTCAAAAGGTAATCACAAATGAAGTTGGATGTTCCCAAAGTGCTGTATCAAAGCACATTAATAGAAAGTTATGTGGAAGGGAAAAGTGTGGAAGAAAAAGGTGCACAAGCAGCAGGGATGACCACAACCTGGAGAGGAGTGTCAGGAAAAGACCATTCACAAGTGTTGGGGACTTTCACAAGGAGTGGACTGAGGCTGGAGTCAGTGCATCAAGAGCCACCACACACAGACAGATCCTGGACATGGGCTTCAAATGTCGTATTCCTCTTGTCAAGCTGCTCCTGAACAACAAACGTCAGAAGCGTCTTACCTGGGCTAAAGAAAAACAGAACTGGTCTGTTGCTCAGTGGTCCAAAGTCCTCTTTTCTGATGAGAGCAACTTTTTGCATCTCATTTGGAAACCAAGGACCCAGAGTCTGGAGGAAGAATGGAGAGGCACACACTGCAAGATGCTTGAAGTCCAGTGTGAAGTTTCCACAGTCTGTGTTGATTTGGGGAGCCATGTCATCTGGTGTTGGTCCACTGTGCTACATTAAGTCCAGGGTCAACGCAGCCGTCTACCAGGAGATTTTGGAGCACTTCATGCTTCCTTCTGCAGACAAGCTTTATGGGGATGTTGACTTCATTCTCCAGCAGGACTTGGCACCTGCCCACACTGCCAAAACAGACATGATATTTTTCCGATTAAAATCGGAATTTCCGATTTTTTTGGGAATCGCCTGGGCGGGGCGGGCGGGCGGGATGAGCAGTGGGCGGTGCGAGCGGCGGGTGGGTGGTGCGAGCGGGCGGGCGGGATGAGCAGTGGGCGGGCGGGGCGAGCGGCGGGCAGGCGGGGCGAGCGGCGGGTGGGCGGGGCGAGCGACGGGCAGGGCGAGCGGCGGGCGGGCGGGCGATTTCTTGGCGCGTGGTGGGGGGTCTTTTTTGGCCAGCCCCGATTTTTTTTTCAGAGGGGAATATCATGCCTGCAAAAGCACCAAAACCTGGTTCAATGACCATGGGATTCCTGTGCTTGATTGGCCAGCAAACTCGCCTGACCTGAACCCCATAGAGAATCTATGGGGCATTGCCAAGAGAAAGATGAGAGACATGAGACCGAACAATGCAGAAGAGATGAAGGCCGCTATTGAAGCATCCTGGTCTTCCATGACACCTCAGCAGCGCCACAGGCTGATAGCTTCCATGCCACGCCGCATTGAGGCAGTAATTGCTGCAAAAGGGGCCCAAACCAAGTACTGAGTACATATGCATGCTTATATTTTTCAGAGGTCCAATATTGTTCTATGTACAATCCTTGTTTTATTGACTGCATGTAATATTCTAATTTTCTGAGATTGTGGTTTTGGGGTTTTCATGAGCTGTAAGCCATAATCATCACAATTATGACAAATCACGGCTTGAACTATCTTGCTTTGCGTGTAATGAGCTTATTTCATATATTAATTTCACCTTTTAAGTTGCATTAACTGAAATAAATGAACTTTTTGCAAGGTACTCTAATTTTTTGAGTTTCACCTGTAGTCAAGGGTCTGAAGCACTGACACTCCGTCCTTTCTGCTAGCAGCACGGACCTATTTTTTTCCCCTCTGCGTGCCTCAGGTTTTGTAAAGAAGTAAGAATTGGGAATTGTCCCTGTTTTTCAGATCCTTTCTCTTGGGAGATTGGGCGTGATGGCTTGTGTCTGAACCCTCAGATCCTTGCTTAGTCTGAGGATGTCTGGGTGACTTTGCCTCCATCACCTTCCCCTGCTTGACTCCCTCACGGGACTGTGAAGAAGCATTTAAGCCAGCCTGGAGGTCTTGGAAGGAAGAAGGAGGGGTTATCAATCTATCCTATTGAAAGTGGACTTTTCAATAGAAAGGCTCCTGTTTTTTTACTACCAGAGTCGGTTGGACCTCGCTAGAGACTCCAAGGAGCAGAAGCCAGGAGTTCCCACGGAGCTCTGCATGGGGGAGCAGTCGGAAAGAGCGCAGGCAGGGAGGCGTAACACGCAAGGGCTTTCCTGCCAGTCCTGCTCCCAGGCGGAGGCTGGGCGTCAGTGGGGCCTCAGTGCTTGCAGCTTAAAGAGATGTTTCCTGTTTCTTTCTGTCGTTGCTTCTAGAGAGGAACCTGAACCCCAAAGCAGCTTGTCTTAAGCAGAGGGAAGAAGGAAAGGGGTCTGTTGTGTCAGCAGAGCCCCCAGCCCCCCATCCAGGAAGCCATCCAGCACTTAGTGAAACGGCCAATCCAATGGGACACATGTGAACGTCAACGAGGTGACCTGTTTTATGTCTGCAGCGATTGGGGGGGGGGGATGACACGGGTGTTGGTGGGCACGTGGGGTATGACAAGACCCAGAAACTTGTCAGTTAAACTTTGTTAAGTTGAACTGCGGCATAACAGAGCCCAGGCTGTGTGTTGGAATCCTTTGCAAGATCACCAGCATGATGGATGAAAAGCAGCAGTCGCGCTCAACAAAGTGCATGGCTTTGGTTGGGGGTGGGTGAGGCTGCGCAGCTCTGGTGCCTCCGCCTAAGAACTGGCTCCACCGGAAGCAGGCCAGAGGCCAGGCCGCTTGGCCTTTCCCAACCCGAACCCGAACCCTTTCCCACGGTGCCCTGCAACTGTTGGTGCTTCAACAATGGCCTTTCAGTGTGCAGATCGGAATCCGGACCCCCACGTGGAAGAGACCAAGAAGGGGGATCTTTTCTTCACACGGACCCTCAACATAGCATTAAGCAGGACCATCTCACCAGAGAAACAACCCATCCAGAAGTGGCCCTGTGAGAACCCCCGACCCCTGCGAGAGAGAGAGAGAGAGGAGGGAGAGGGAGGGGGGAGAGAGAGAGCAGCAGGCTCTTCTTCCAGCAGGACTTCTGCCCCAGAGATGGTGGCGCCTCTCCTCTCCACTTGATGGGGAAACTGCCTTGTGCCTAAACCGAATTGGCAGATGCATTGTAACTAGAAAACATTATTTATTTGTAACGGAGCTGTCAAGGTCCACCGTATGAAGGGAAACATTGATCCGCTTAGAGCTTGGTTGAGATACTGATTTTGAGAAGTGCATTCCGAGAAGGAAGCTACAAGGCCACCTTCACGTTCCCACCCTGCGTGGGCCCCAGCTCCCCTTTCTCTGGCCATCGGACATGTATTTCCTGGGTAGGTACCTTGATCGTGAGAAGCAGCGGCCTGCGGGCAGCCCTCTGACTCACAGCCCTCAGCCTCTGGCATCACGGGCACAAGCCACATAGAGCCACCGCATTCCTTGAGCTGAGCCCCCCTCTGCCTTTTGCCTTCTCAAGCGGCTGCCTCCCTTCGAAGCCTTGTCATGGGACTGAGAGGAGGAAGCCCGTCCACAATTGCCCTGGAGCTGTAAGAACACAAGCATAGCACAGCCCGGGATGAGAGCAGTGCAGGAAGGCGACCTGGGGTGCCCTGATGCCTGGCTTCCCCCCTTCCTGGTCAGTAGCCTTTGCTGAGGGCCAAGCAGGGAGGGCCTCAGCAACCTGGGCAGTTGCTCCCCCTGTGATCCCCCTCTGAGCTTCCATTGTGAATGCTGTCTTCCATTGTAGCGGCCCGGAGAAAGGCCCGCCGTGGCCCGGCCCTCCCACCCTGAGCAAACCCTGCCTCGCACAAGATTTGAATTGCTCCTCCAGCCTTGAGTGTTGTGGCTCTAACTGGCTTCCTTTCTGCAAGGGGACGTGCCTTCCTGATGGTTCTTAGCACATGCTGGTTTGTGAAGCGGCTGTGTCCTAAAGTGGCCCTGAGCAAGCCTCTGTGGACCTTTTTTGCCCCATTCTTGGTATTCCCAGCCAGTGGACTCTGGCTCCTGGCTCTGTTGGGCTGTGCAGGGTGTGTGTGCTGTGTGCCCCAAAGTTTCCCTCTGGGAAACCAAGAGAGAAAACACTTGGCTTATTTTTCACTGTAGCTAGACTTTTATACAATAATCTTGTAAGAAGTTTCTTGAATTCTAAATATTACTCTTTCTAGATTTTTGAAATCAAAAGTTTTCAGTAAAAATTTCTTACTTTATTTTACTATATTAGGTAGAAAGAAATGTAGGGTTGTTTATCATAACCTGTTCATTAATATCAGAAATTTACAATAACATTGTAAGAGCATAGTAGGGTTCTAGCATCCTGTGTAGTACCTTATGGAGTATTGTAAGAGCTATTTGTCCAAGATGAATTGCTTCTCATCTTATTACTCAATTCCCAGATGTTGGTTTATTGCAAATTTGTACCTTGTGTCAAATTTCAAGATATTACAGATGCATCTTTTTGACCAGCAACAAATTCAACACCTTTTCTGTCTTGTCAGAAAACACTATGTATATAACATTTATGTAGCAATAAATGTGCCATCCTTTTGTAATTATTGTTTCAGGCAATCTTTAACCATTTTTATGCTCTTGTCTATTTTGGCCCAATCCTTATCTGCACATGAATAGAAAGGATGAAGTTTAAATGGACATGCTAAGTAATTTAAAGCCATATTGATTTTAGTGTTTAAAAAGTGAAGCAAAGCCATTCCCCATTTAAATTAAGATTAACAAGGATGCTGAATTTGTTTCTAGATTTACACTGTTCCTCTGTGTGCTGGTTTAAACCATCTGGAACATGCCCAGGGCACAGGCCTGGTTCAGACAAATACACAGGCAGAGACCAGAGGAAATGTTCACGAAGGGACTCTGCTTTCCAGGCCAAGGCAAGGGCCAGGGAGGTTGGCCACAAGGGCATTACGCCCAACTCAAGTGAGGTGCAAGGGCAGAAGAGCAGGAGGTACTATGGACCTCAAGACAAAATGGCCCAAGATCCTTCCAGAAGTTGCGTTTGGGACCAGGTAGAGGTTGAAATGTGGAGATTGCCTCCCGCTTGATTTCGTTTCTGTGCAGATTGCTCTTCCCATGGCATTGCAACATTTATTTATTCAATTTATATGGCCACTCATATTAAGCAGGTGTTTCTAGGTGCAAACAATCATAAAACATAATATAAAAAAATAAATGTATATAGCAGCCAAAAAACTCCATATATTCAATATCCATATAAGATACAAAATCTTCAAAAATAAGATTACAAAAATAACGGAAAGAACTTACAGGAGCAGGCAGAAGACATTGGCAAAGGAGGCGAGCCACAATGGCTGTGGGATCCAGGCTGCCTCTCAGGAAGTGGGACTTGCCCTCAAGGGCTTCTTGGGGGCACCACTCACTAATTATTACGAGGGGGGTATATTTACATGTCACCAACGCCACACAGACTCCTTGTGGCATAAAGCTCCAAGTTCTGGAAGCAACTCTTGGACATCTTTGCAGGTGCATCCCAACCCTTTGCTGACCTGGAGGACATGATGGCAGATACACCCCTGCACATTACAGATGTTGGAGATATTACAAACTAAGGATGCTTGAGATTTGCAGTAGGCGGACCACTACCCAGGGCTCTTAGGCTGCCTCACAGAATCTCCCCGAGTTGCAGGGAGCCCCATTCAGAACGACCTCACCCTTCGTGCCCTGCTTGTGATGGATCACCCTTGGGGGGTGGGGGTGGGGGGCTTATGGTTACTCCCACAGAAGGTAAAATTGGCTGTCATCTTGGTTTGTTGATCACATAAGCAAATTGCTGAGAATCCTGATCGAGTCACAACTGAAAAGGCTAGCTTGAAATAGAATTGTAGAGCTCTTTTCCTAGCAACATCGGAATCCAAACGATGGCTTAGAAGCTGCCATGATGTCTGTCTTTACTGTCAGTCAGTGAGCAAGGACCACAGGAGGTTGTACCTGAGCCAAATTGTGTGAAGGATGCCATTTGGTGAAACTGAGCATCCTTTTCTGTCTTACTGTGGGGCCTTCATTACACTGTCCAGCCCTTAACACCATAGGGGCCATGCAAGTAAAGCTTCGGCAATCCTTATGCTCCAGCTAAGGTAAGTTTTAAAAAGACAAAAGTAGTTTTGCGATGTTGAGATAATCCAGACCTTGCTTGGCACCATTCTGCCTCCTGCTTCCGCTCCTTCCCCAAGAGCTGCCCCCCCCCCCCAATGAAATTAGGTTGGGAAGGGCTGCTTTGAAGACTGCAAAGCGGTGGACGGGTCTGTTTCATAATTTGCCGCATCTTCAGAATCTGGCACTGGTTGTAGCAGTGAATGGGGGTCCCTGAGCAGTTAAATTGGTTGTATAAATAGAGCCTCGCCTAGGGTGGCGTATGCCAGCCAGCAACAACCCAAGGTCGCCCTGAAAGACCCAGGTCTCCTGTCATCCCAGGAGCAGGGTCCCAGTAGGGCCTCTCCTAGGGAAGCAGCCCCAGGTGTGTGTCAGGAGCCTTCAGTTCACTTCTCCCCTTGAGCAGGTGGATTCCAGAATCCAGCCCAGAGCTCCCCTCTTGGGCTCAGGTTTTCTGTTTTGAATATTTCAAACTGAGGAAGATGCGTGGAAGCTAAAGCTGTTGGGCCCCGGTAGGCTGGCACACTGTAGATTAAATGGAGAAGTGGCCCATAGAGTGAGTGGTTAAGGCAGCAGGCTAGAGAGGCCCAATGCCTGCTGGGGGTCCTTGGAAGGGCCACCCGCCACTTCCGAAGCCTTGCCAAGAAAAGGGAGGCCACTGTCCTCGTTCAAGAGACGCCCAGGGGTTCCTCCAGCAGGTGGCGCCCTTGGCTAAGCTCCAGAGCTCCGAGGGGCCCAAGGGAGGCCGAGCGGGAGGAGCCCCTGGATTTGGGGGGCGGGGGAGAGAGGCTTCCCGGGATTTCCTTTCCGGGGACGCGAATGGGCGGGAGGAGCCCTTGGAAGCAGGCGCTGCAATCCGGCCTTGGACAGAGGAAGGCGGGGGGGGGGGGGGGGGGGGCCTGCGGGCCCGGGCCCCAAACAAGGGGGCAAACCCAGGGGGGGGAATCCCCCCCCCCCCCCGAATCGCTGCTCCCACAAGACGCCTCCCGGGGCCGCCCCGTTTCGGCGGCGGGGGAGCCGGTGGAGGCGGGACGGTCCCGATTCCCGGCTGTGCGGGCTCTCCGTCGGGCAGAAGCCGGCGGCTCCTGAGCGCGTGCAGAGGGCGGGCGTCTTCGCCCCGCCCGGCGGGTTGCCCGCCGCAGGTCCCTCCCTCGGCGGCCTGGAAGAGGCGGGCGGTCCGGGCGGCGGGCAGAGGCGCTCGCTCGGCGGGGCTCGGCTCGGCTCGGAGGACGCGGCGCGGGCCGGACGGAGGTGCGCGGGGACAGGGACGCGCTGGGCGAGGGGCGGAAAGGACGGGCGGCCGCGGGTTCCCTCCGCCGGCCGGGGAAGCGGCGCTGTCGGCGCCTCGCCTCCTTGTCCGTGGACGGGCGGGCGCTATCGCTGCCTCGGGCGGCCTCTCTCGGTGGCCCCTTCGGGGTCGGGCAGGAGGGACTCGGAAAGCCAAGCTCGGGTCGGGCCGGCTCTCGCCCCGCTGCCCCGGCTCTGCCCAGCCCACCCGGCTCCGCGGGCGCGGCCCTGGCGAGGGGGGCGGAGGGCCCGGCGGGGAGGCGCCCGCTGCCTTGGCCAGAGCTCCGCCGCCGGGCAGGAGGCCCCGTCTGTCAGCTGCTCTCATCGCTCTGGCCGGCGCCAGGCAGGGACGGCGGCCGGGCGCTTCTCCCGGGGTGGGCCGGTCCTGCGCTGCGGCCCCGGGAGATTCGCCTCCCCGCGTGGGGTTTGGGCTGCCCTCTCGGGCGGGGGAGGCTTGGTCGGAGTAGGGCGTCGTTTGGACGAGAATGGGCTTTACCTTCCAACGATGCCCGGGAAGGGGCGGCAGGAGCGCCTGAAGCCGACTGTCTCTGGCGGGGCCCCGGTTGCAGCCCTGCGTGGCTGCGGCCTTTCCTCCCTCTGCCTTTGGAAGGGAAAGGACGTCCAGGCTGTAACGGACCGGAGAAGCCTTAGGCACCTTTTAGGGCAGTAATACCCCAGGTGGGAGCGTGGAAGCCCCCGCGCAGCCCGGCCTGCCCTTCTGCTCTCCGCCTGGGGCAAAGGGGGGGGGGCTTCTCCTTCAGCAGGGAGGGCTGCTGTGCTGCCAGGTTGGGTAGGGGAAGCCACCTCGGATCTGACCCAGCTGCTTCCCTCCTCCTGTCCCACCTGCCCTGTAATTGATGGGTTTGGGAGTGCAGGCCCAGCTGTGCCCGGGGTCTGCACCACCCATTTCTCTCCTTTGCGGCCCAGCACCTCCCTCTTTGGGGGTGGCGAAGGACCCTCTGGGGCCTGTGGCTGGGTGGCTCAACAGCACCGACTATGCATGTGGCACATCGGCCCATGGGGGTGTTGGTTTTGATGGGATTGCTGTACTAAAGGCCCAAAATCTTGTGTGGCAAAAATATAAGGGAGGCCAAAGCTTGGCTCGGTTCGCATGCTGCAAGAAATTTCTGGGGGGAAAATACTTGTTTGGAATTGTTTGCTGTACCATGGTAGGAAGGGAGAATCAACCAGTTTAATTTTGGTTTTAAGTCTTTGTTATAAATCCCAGCACTTTTCCACCTCGGGTGCCAATCCAGTGTAGGTTTTGGCACACCTCCAGCACCGCCATGAGATTTCTGGAAGCGGCTGAGCTGCTGCAGGGGGAGGCAGGCCTTGGGGTCCCCTCGGTCTCCCCTTTCCCTCGCGGAACTTTCTTCTCACACCTCCTGTGAAAGTGAGGCCAAAGGTAATTCAAGGAGATGCTGGGACTTTCCCGGGAGACTCTCCTCCAAAGGCCAGGTGACCTAGGTGCATGTGCAGTGAAAGTGCAGAGAAGGGTCCGAGGGGCCCTCCATGCCAGGAGCGTGGATGGGGCCACGCCTGGATCCGTAGAAGCAACCAGGGTGCAAGCTGACCAAAAAGCAGAAGATTGTCACCAGGTCTGAAAAGACTAGATATTTTGACCCCGAGAAAAGCCTCTGCTGGAGAAAAGTATTTGCTCGGTCTCAGAAAGTGAGGTTAGATTCCAAAAAGGTAATCATTTATGGAATACCCACAGTGGACTTTGTGGAGTACGGGGCTGCGGCCAGTGTCCGCCGCTCATTTCCTGGCAGGCTAATCTCTCTTTACAAGCAAGTCTGTTTCCCCTGCAAATCCAGCTGCAAGTAGAACTGTGGTGGGACTAGCCAGAAACCAGGGTTACAGGGGATATACATTTGTATGAATAAAATTCAGAAAAGGCAACAAGATCTCCGAAGGTATAAAACAGAGGATGACAGCAAAAATGGAAAGTGGAATAAATGTGGGGAAACAGACACTTTCTGAGAGCCAGTACGCCTTGACCAGCAGAATGATTGACCTCTAAAAAGCAATAAAACAATGTGTGTGGCTGGTTCTATGTAGATTTGAAATCCGAGTCTCTGACTAAGTGGAAAAAAAGAAAGCCCCAGGGGAGGAGGGGGGGGCATGTGGCCCCTGGCCTAAATGCAGCCCAGAGAGCAGTGGAAGGAAATGACAGAATAGGAGATGGAGACTGAGGGGAATTGGGGAAAGCGTAGAAAGGGAAGGAAGAGAACTTGCTCTGGGTCGACTTCATCTGAAGACTGCAGGGGAAGTGACTGGTTTGCGACGGCACAAAGTGGGGGAACTGGGGGGGGTGTCTCTCTGGGCACTGCCAGAGCAAGGGGCTGAGGAAAAGACAGAGGCCTGCCTCATTCTTCCAAGAGAACGGAATGATAACGGAAGGAAGGAAGGAAGGGCTTTTGTACTGCCAGGAGCTGTGCAGAGGCAGCGAGAGGAGAGGAGAGAGAAACAGCATTGGAAAGAGGAACGACAGCTGGGGTTAGGCTAGAGGCCTGTGCAGGAGGAGCTGCAAGGGAGAAGAGCACCCGAAGCCCCCGGAAGGCCAGGTCACCTTTCCCCTGCTGGAGGAGAGCTTCTCCGCAAGGGATCCATTTCAGGCACTCTGCAAAACAGGGCCTGAGCTGAAAGGAGCCCCTGCCGAGGAAGGCTTGGCTTGGCTCAGCTCACAGGCTTGGACACAAACCAGTGATTGTCTTTGAAAACCGAAGCTGCCTGTGGAGATTTCTGTGTGGCTCCCAGTTGCAGCTCAGCCCAAGCTTGGTCACTGCTCCTCTCGAAGGCTGCTGGCCTGCTTCTCTTGGTTTGGGGAGGAGTTCAACTTGGATTGGGAACTGGTTTGGTTTGGAGGCTCTTCGGCACATTTGCAGCCGACTTAAAGGGGAAACGAAGAGAAGATGCAGCTGTGAATTTTGCGTGAAGCTTGTGGGTCCGTGGACTGAGGTGGAGCTTCCACACTGGGCCCAAAGCCCAGGAAGCTCTGCAAACCCTTGTCTTCCGGGAGCTCCTCCTGCCGTTCCACTGAGGAGTCCAGGTCCCCCTTTGTGGTTAATTTCATCTCCAGCTCCTCTGCCTCCTGGACTCCTTTAGGGAAGGGCTGGAACGGTCGGCTCCAGAAGGGGCCTGGAGGAGAACTGGCCCTGCCTGGACAGTCGTTCTGGCCTGTTGCTTTTGCGCAAGCGGCACAAGGCCAGCCTGTGACCAGCCCTTCTTTGGGAGAAGATGGATCTGGTTCCTGCAGGGCCACCCCAGACCAGGCAGGTTTGTGCCCAGCAGGCCTTGGCTCTGGCTACGGAGTGTCCAGCCCCAGGACAGCCCGCCCCCCCCCCCCCCCCCCCCCACCCCCCGCCAGGGAAGCCTCCCCGGGCCTCCGCCCGGGGGGGCCCCCCACCCACCCCGCCCCCCCCTTGGCCCAAACCCCCCCCCCCCAGGCGCCCTTTGCCCCTTGCATTGGGGGCTTCCATTTCCCAACTCCTCTTTCCCAAAACCAGCCCTCCCTTTAGCAGCCAATGGGAATCCTCTGCCCTCTCAGCTTTGCCCCTGCTGATGGGAGGGCTGTTCGGGGGGGGGGGGGGAAGAAATGCCAGGAGGGGAATGAGGGAGAATTCCCTGCTTTGGTTTCCCTTCCAGTTTGCCCCCCACCCCACCCCCGGGCGACTGTCCCCTCTTGTGGGTGGCTGCCTGCCAAGGCCTGCCTGTCCGGAGCGTCTCTTCCCACAAGGGAGGATAAAGAGGGCGATTGTCCAAGCTTGGAGACAAATGGAGCAGGCGGCCTGGCCGCTGGCCACGCTGGTTCAGCCGGGGAGACGCTTCAGCCCCAGCAATGCCATTGGGCGGCCGGGCGGCAGAGCTAGTGAGGCAGCCCAATGACAACGCTGAAGGCCACTGAGGAGTTGCCCTCGGGACTCGCTGGCACCGCATGAGTGTTGCCTCCAGCCTCTTATTGGCATGCCCGGGGCTCGGCTCAAGCGCAGGAGGCTGCCCCGCAAGGCAGGCTGCGGCTCTGGAGTGTGGGTGCCTTTTTCCTTCCTCTGTTGCATCCGAATTCCTGGGTGAGAGCTGAACCCCCAGTTGCTCCAGGGAAGGCGAGGGCTGGCGGCAGCGGGATGCCTCTGCAGCCCCAGCTCTGTTTTGCAAGGTAGCCGCACTCTGGCATGCAAAGCAGCTCCAGAGAGGGCAGCGGAGCCGACCGGAGAGGCCAAGGGAGGATCCTGCTCTGAGTTTTGGCTCCAAACGGGCATCTGAAGAGCCTGTAGAGCAGCCTTGAGCCTCTAGGGAACAGGGTTCAAAGCGACATACTTGGATCAAGTATCACTGAGCTTGGAAACACTCTCAGAACTGGAGTGTGTCTTTGGTGAAACACCTCCTCGATCCCCAGCTTTCTTTAGGAGGGCAGCAGCTTGCAGGGAGAAAGCGGGGAAGGTCTCTGGAATCTGCATCTTTCCTCTTTTTAGGGACACCACAAAGTGGCCTGGCTAGGGGGACCAAATTGGAGGAGCTCCAGGTCAGTAAAAATGTGATCATAAGTAACTTCCAGCTGGGCACCGAATACCCTGAGACTGGGATGCGAGATTCCTAACCCGTCTGGGAGAAGCTTCCCACCCTGCAGAAGCAGGATGGGCACCCTTGTTGCTGAAGGAAGAGAAAAACCGGCTTGTGTAAAGAGCTTGAGGGGTGTTGAGTCACAGGCTGCCCCTGAATGATCCAGGTGTCCCAGCCAGGACATGGAGTTAAGGATTTGGGTTTATATGCTGATGTTGTTTTGTTAGAACTGTCACCGTTTTAAGGACATGTCAATTACAGCCTAGAATCAAAACAGCATTAAGCCCCCAAAATCAGTGAAAAATGATAACATATTAAGAGGCGGCAAATCATCTAATATTATTAGTAGACTCTGTTCAACCTGCATTTAGATGGTCATCCCTAAATTACAGGCCCACATTGTGTGGCGAGTCCACCAGCCTCTTTGCTAGACTCCGTCCACATCAGTCACAGGTACGGTCTGTTTCTTACAAACCAGTTTCAAAATCTGTTCCGGTCACCTTTCGAGGTGTCTGTGGATTCCAGAGGGTGTGAGACCTGCTCTGGTGTGAGTAGATGCAGGCCTTGTTTCCTGGCTGTGGAAGCTGAAGTGAGGTGGGAATAGGTGGAATAAACCAGGGGGATTCATCTGAGAGTGGCTTGGAGGTCCGGGAGGAAGCGCAGGGCTGAGACAAGCCAGCAGGCCTCCTTTCCTGCTGAAGGCCCACCGGGGCCTCCTCCTCCTCCCTCGTCCAGCTGAAGCCCGGGGTCCCCACTAGCGGGAGAGGATTCCCAATGACAAGCCCCGAAATGGAGAGTGGGGCTGGGCTCTGCCCCAAACTGAGCAGAGGCAGGCTTGCCCATTGCTAGCCTTGGAAGCAGCCAGTCCAGGGCCCTCCAGGAGGGGGACCAGGCTTTGGGGTTGGGAAACGGGGGCAGGAAACAGAGCTGCTTGTTGGGAATTGAGGTGTGGCAGAAAAGCCGAATTCCTGACCTGGGTTTATTAGCAAGGAGGCAGCAGCTGGGGAAGGGGCATGGGGCAGGCGGCCCAGCTCTTTGGGCTGCTTACGGCCTGGGAGGGAATGGCAGTCTGTCAAAGCTGGGACCTAGCCTGGATCTCTTGCCTGTTTTCTGCAAGGCCGGCAGGCCCAGCCTGACACCCCAGAGTGGCTCTCCAGAAAAGGCATGTTAGAGGTGCCACATTTCAGCATTAGGACTTGGGTGCCTTCGGGAAATCAAGGGAGCCAAAGGGAAGTTTCCTGGCTCTGAGCCAGAAGCTGAGACAGCAGAAAGAAGGCCAGATTGATGTTTGTCTGCACTTAGGAACCAACTGTATTCATCAAAATGGGGGCTTCCGGAAGGTTGCCGCCTCTTCCAACGGGAGACCCGTCCAAAGCAAAGTATTTATTGCCAACAGATGAACTGAAATGTTAATGAAAGGCGGTGGAGTAACTGATGCAAAACACCACGAAAAACAGGTCCAGAGCTGAAGAGAGTAGGAAGCGCAGCACATCCTGGGCTTTGCCTGGTGCTCGGCTGGCACAAACAGCACTTAGGCAGCGGAGGCGGCTGTACCACCCAGGCACCCTGTAGGAGAGCATTCCAGAGCGGGGCGGCTGCTGAGCAGGCCGCCTCTCCTCCTCCTGTGCTTCCTGTCGCCGGAGGGTCAGGAAGCAGGGAGCCCCAGGCTATAGGGAGGGAGGGAGGGAGGGCGCTGCTGCCAGGGCCTATAGGAAGAGGGGGCCTGACAAAGCTGGGGTGCCACTGAGCTCCACTGGCATCGCAGGGCGATTCGTCAGGGCGCCCTCGGACAGCTAGGAAGGTCAGGAAGTCTTCTCTCTCCCTGGGCAAAATCACAGCCTCACTTCTCCTTCTCTGCTTTCTTTGCAGCTTAGCTCTGGGTGGATGATGAAGTCCTCTCCCAATGGTTTCCGGCCGCGGGACCGTGTGAGCGCCCCTGAGTTGGCAACACGGGAGAGCCCTCCGAATGCCAAGGCCGGGTCTTACGGCGTCACCGTCCGGGTCCAAGGGATCGATGGCCATCCGTATCTCGTGCTCAACAACACTGAAGGAGGCTTGTCAGCAAATCTCTTGGGGCCTGAAAATGGCCAACAGGTTGCAGCTGATCAGCCGGCGGCAGATTCTGCTCTTCCTGCCCTTGGACTCATCCGGAAAAGCCACGAAGGGAGGCCCTTTGGCAGGCTTTGGGATAATGTGCCACCCAGTTGGATCAAAAGCCTGAAGCAAGTCAGCAGCGCGGAGGGAAAGGAAGCCACCTCACCTTCCCAAGCTGAGATTTCCCAGGCCTCTAATTTGCTGAACTTCCAGAAATATCCAGAGCTGCTTCAACCCTATAATCCTGCAAACAGTATCTTGAATCTGAAGGACCTTCAGCCTCGCCTGCTGAGCAAATCCCAGTCTCTTGAGGATGAAGGGAAATCGGATTCCAGGCCTTGGAACCGGTCTTTGAGGGGGGCAGCATTAGGTGACTCCACCCCCCAGTTTGCAGAACTGGCTAAATCAAAACCAAAAACGGTGGACTTGACCAGGTCCTACCAAAACAAGCAGCAGCTGGGAAGCCCCAGTGAGGCTAACCATCCTGGCGGAAGGCCTGAATGGCTCACTTCTGGGGCAGGACCTTCACCTGCTGCAGGTTCCTCTGCCTGCCCGGATCCTAGGAAATGCAGGCCGGACCTCCTCCCTTTCCGCCAGCCGGACTCGGCAGGAGCAGCCCTGAATGGTTCCCAGAAATCTTTCTCTCCATCCACTACTCCAACGTCTGCCACCTCTGTGTCCAGGTTTTTCCTAGATGACCAAGAATACGCCATCTATGCCGACCACGTCAACCGGCATGAAAACCGGCGTTATATCCCATTTTTGCCTGGAACCGGTCGTGACATTGATACTGGCTCCACTCCTGCAGTTGAAGAGCTGATTGAAAAGTTTGACAGGAAAGTTTGTCCCCAAAGGAGTGGAAGGTTAGGGTTTAGGACTCGAACGCTCCCAGAGAACCCTAAGCGATCCAAGAGCGTAGACAGCGCCTGGTCTCACGGGCCGCATTCTGGGCGCATCGGTGACTTCACCAGAAACCTAGGAAGATCGTCGGAGCATTTGGTCCAGTCCTCTCAAGTTTGCCTGCAGAAGCCGCTGTCTCCAGAGAAGAAGGCAACCCCTCTTGGGAAGCAGGTGGCCCCTCCGGTAGCAGGCAAGCTCCAGACAACCCCAGAAATGAGAGCGTCTCCCAGCAGCCACTTCGGTTCCTTGCAGTATCTGAGACAAGATCAAATGAACCCAGAGAGTTTGCCTTTGAAGTCTTCTACTCTTCCAAGGCAGCGTAAAAAAAGAGACCCTAAAACTCTGGCCTCCACTCTCCTGCTCCCAGAAAGCACCGGGAGTCAGACTCACTCAAAGATGGAAACTTTTGCTTCTGGTTCAAAAAGTGCTCAGGTAACTTCTGGCACCCGAGGCTGCTTCAGTGTGGGCCAGTCTGAGGCCATTTGGGACGGAAGGGGACAGCGATGCCTGAGGAAGGGTGGCTGCTGGGTGGAGAAATGGGCAGGACTGAGTGGAAAGGCTTCTGCCCTTGAGGCAGTTGGGTATTTTGGAATGAACAGCTCCATGTTGCAAATTTTAAAAATAGATCATTTTTGTCCCCGATCTTCACACGGGGTAGCATTCTCTCAACTACTACCTGGCCTGTTTTCTCAGAAATAGCTCAAAAAGTGGGGGGGAGTCCCATTCAGGCTTTTGTCTCAAAGGGGCAGGGTGGCCTGCATTTGAGGGTTGGTTTTCTGACCCTTCAGAGCTGCTTGCAGCAACTGCTGAGCTGAAGGGCAACACAACTTGTGTCGGCCCAATTGGAAACGAGAGTCTTTCCTTCTGAGGCATCCTTTTCATCCCGAGTTTTGTGTTTCAGGTAACACCTGACCTGCTCAAGGGCCAGCAAGAACTTGCCCAACAAAGCAATGAAGAGACGGCCAAGCAGATTCTCTACAACTATCTCAAAGAAGGGTCAGTGGGCTTGTGTAACACCTTGCTTGTGGCATGGTATTTTGTACCTAGTCTTGCTTGGGGTCTCTGTTTCTGGGTGAAGTTCCACCCTGATGAATTCGCACAAGAACTCCCTACAGCAAATGCCCCTCTGCAGGCAGGTAGATCCTGCAGGTGGCTGGAGGCTCCAGGGTCTTTGCTTTCTGACCATTTGAACAAACTTTGCGTCTCTTTTTACATTTTAGTACTCGTGAAAACGAGGACGCTACCAAGAGGAAAGTCAACTTGGTATTTGAGAAAATCCAGACGCTGAAGTCCAGAGCAGCTGGCAGTCCCCAGGTGAATGGCACCAAGGAAAGGGCCTTCGGTCTCCCGTGGCTGCCTGTTCTGGGAGGGCAGCCCTGGCCCGCAGCTGGCGAAGTGTCTTTGCCATTGTGTGAGGCAGGACTGTTTTTGCCAGCAGTCTCTTCCCCTCGAGCAACAAAGGTGTTTTATGGCTTCTCTCACACAACTCCCTTTTGCTGCTATCTTTTGAAAAGTCCCCCAAGGTCCCTGGTGAAGGCCTTATGAGGCAGTTCAGATGTTTAGAACAAAGGAATCTTGTTTTACTGTAGACACCTGGTGGTGCTTCAGTGGAAGTTGACCTGTTGGTGGAAGAGAAGAAGCGATTGACAAAGGAGGTTTCTGAGCTACAGAGGAAGCTGGACTTGGAATTCAAGGTAGCCCCTCCCCCAACTTCCTGTCGGTCACTGATCCTGCACATGTGAACAGAGAATGGGGGTCTTTTAAGAGCGGCTCAGCCACACAGGTGCAGGAGCACAATTCAGCTTCCGGAGGACTGCTGGCCCTTAGAGCCGGTTGCGTTGGGGCCGGTCAACAGATCCAGGCCCATTGCATGCTGAAGATGGGCTGTGCTCCTTACCCCAGATGCCCCCTAGTCTTTGCTTCACCCTGCAGCCTTCAGAAGGAACAAAGGGAGTTCCCTTGCATAGATGCGTGGCCCATTTGCCAATTCTCAGAAATACTGGAGTCTTTAGAAAGGTGCAAAGAGATTTAATCGATTCTTTTTATCTTTTCCAAAATGTGCTATTTTAGAGTCAGCAAAACTTCAAAGCTGAAAGGCAGACAATGGAAGCCGAGCTTCAGAAGCTTCGACAACAGCTTGAAGAAAACAGGGAGGAGAAAGACACCCTCCGAAGGCAGCTGAAGGAAAGTGAGAACGACCTGAGAGAAAACCTGGAGGAGTGAGTTTCGCTATGAGTGTTGACTATAGTCATCAAATCCAATACAAACTAAAGAGAAAGAAAATAGTATACTGTCCTTCCTACAACAATATTGGAATGAACTAAAGCCGCACCCCCTCCCCAACCTTTGGGGCACCAGGGATCGGTTTTGGGTAGAGGTTTTTTTCCATGGACCGGAGGGGCCTGGTTCCACAGGCTGCCTCCTTCCCTTGGATGGAGCTTCACTTCTTTGCGCAGATCAATTGGTCGTAGGCGGTCCTGATCCACGGACTGCAGGTTGGGGACCACTGAACTAAAGATTGTGACTGTTACAAGTAAAAGGAAGGAATATAAAAGTTGGTTTATTTGATTAAAATTAAAATATGTTGCTATTTCTGGCAGCCCATGATAAGACTTTCTGCTGACTCCAGGACTGAAAAGATGAGGATTTATGGATTTGTCCCTGGAGATGGGACCAGAAATAGGATAAAGAGAGAGATGTTTGTAACCTTGGAGAGTGACTAAATTTGTTTATACTTGTGATGAAAGTTATTTCCTTGTATATCTTTCTTTCTTTATTATACTTGAATTTTTTTTCTTCTCTCTTTTCTTTTACCTTGCACCGTTTATTTTTTCTTTCCACTCATTCACTTCTCTTGCAACTCATCTTTTACCCTTTTGGCCACTGTTAACTCTTGCCACCAAACTGGGCTTTTCTGAAGTTTTTGAGGGCTTTTGATGACTGTCCTGGGTTCCAGCTGGCAGACCAAAGAAGGCATCTCAAAAACGCTGTTTTCTCCCTCCCCCTTTGAGGCTTTTCCAAATGAAAATGGAACGGGAGCAGCACCAGAGGGAGATCCGAGACTTGCAGGATCAACTGTCCGAGATGCACGATGAACTGGACAGCACGAAGCACGCGGAGGGCGAGAAGGAGCAACTCATAGAGGTGAGAGGACCCTGAGCTGGAGCAGGAAAATGTGGCAGGCAGGAAGCCAGGAGTTCGGAGCCTTCTGAACAGGGCCGCCCCCCCCCTTTCTCCTTCTCCATTCCTGAATTTAGGAGCTGATGCAAATGAAGCAGGAGCTGCAGGTGCTGCTGGTGCTCCAAGACCAGCAAGAAAAGATCCTGAAGAAACGTGAGCGGGAGCTGACGGCCCTGAAGGGCGTCTTGAAGGAAGAGATGGCCAGCCAGGACCGGGAGATTGGCCACCTCAAGGAGCAGCACGTCCAGGAGCTCCAGAGCCTGAGCGACAGCCTGGCCAAAGCCACAGAGGTCAGTGAGGCACCCAGCAGAGTCCGCGGCTTCTCAGAGCAGAAGTGCAGCTCAGCCCTGGTACCCGCCAGCCCCCACCCCCAGCCCTCCCCCAGCCCTCGCCCTCCGCCTGAACCTTCTCCTGCACAAACAGACTCTCCGGTGCTGTGGTGATTATTGCCACCATCTCAGTCCTGGCACCGAGAGGGCTCTGCGTTCAGGTTGCCCATCGGAAATAAAAGGAGGGCTCTTCATCACTCGCTTTTTTACTCTCCCACCCGTTTTTGGCTTGTTTGGAAGATAGAAACCTTGAGAGAATCTGTTAATTGTTTTTAATTGGGTAAGTTATGCTTTAAAAAAATATAATTACCTGTTGTTATTTTTAAAAATCCTCACTCTGAACGGTTGAAGTTGCTCCTTCGGATCCGCTCCGTTGCACGTGCGCTTGACTTCAGCCAGTCAAAAGTCAAGGCAGGGAGCCCCGCCTAGGACGCCCTTCTCCCTTTCTCCTCGCTCTGCCCCACAGTACAAGCAGGAACAGTGCCCCCCCCCCCCAGTCTTGGGGGCCAGGCAAGGGAGAGAGTCAGGCCATCCCACCAGGCTGCGCCTCCTCGCCTCCCCTCATCTGGGGACCTTTTGCAGACCGCTTGGCGAGGGTTGGGTTGCAGCGGACCAGGCAGAAAAAGGCCCTGCTGCGCCCAGTTTCTGATGGACTTGGCCTGTACCCCCCACCCCTCCACCAGGCCACCCACCCCAGGTCTGTTGCATTTTGCTCTGGTTCTGGGCTGCCTGGGTTGGCTTTCTGCAGCTGAAGAGGAAATGTGTCACTGGAGACTGGGCCTGAGAGGCCTCTCGGACCAAGGCCCTGGGGCAGGGAATTCGCCTGGCCCTCACTGGGAACGGCAGTTAATGGGTGCCCGACAGCTGACCTTGGTTGCCCAAAAGAGCTGTGAGACGCCCACAAGGTCAGCCAGCTGCTATGCCCTCCCCCCTCTTGCAGCTCTGTTTTGGGGTGCTGCTGTTTTCCAGGGCCACCGGTCACTTGGTTGGGCATCAGATTTCCTTGGAGAGCTTGGCTCTTCTGGCCAGCAGGCAAAGCTCAATTTCTCTCTCCTGGCACTAAATCTGTTTGTGGTGCTCCCTCGAGTAGGAGGCGGGGGTAGAAACCGAACTCCCTTCAGGAATTCCAATGCAAGGAGGGAGAAGCTGCCAACCTGCCCATGCCTGAGTGGCACTTTACAGGGAGAAAATGAAAAGGTGGCAGCCGCTGCCACTGATGCAGCTCATTCACCATGGGGAGCAGGAGGTGGATTGGCCTTGTGGGGAAGGAGGAGTTGAAGCAGTTCAGCTCTGCTCCTGCCCACCTGAGAGCCAGGACAAGAGGAGGAGGAGGAGGGGAGGCTCTTTCCCCGGGGGGCTGGCCGTCCCGAGTGCCCCTTTCCTGCCTGGACACCGAAGAAGGGGAGCCGGAACAGCCTGCCTTCTGAGCAGGGCCTACAGTGCGGCCGCCCCGTCTCTCCCGTGTGATGCTCTTTCTTCTATCCTTTATTTAAATGTTCACAACTAGGTTTTCCATGAAAAGCATCGGAGCTGTGTCCTAATCTAGAATGCCACAGGAAATAACAATTCAGAAACAGGCATCATCAGGGTATAAACATGCAAGCAGGTTTTAAAAAAAAACTTCAAGATTAAGCAATGCAGGAGGTACCTCCTGGGCCAGCAAAGTGCTTGGAAATTTTTTGGTTTCGGCATTGGAAGTTTGAAAGGGGGCAGATGCCATGACCTGGTCCCTCACTGGAGGAGAAAGCCCTGTCAGCTCCACAGAACCAAGGCTGTGGCCTTGAACCCGGGCAATGTCACCAGCTCTTTCCTGTTAATGGGCAGCAGGGATTTGCCCACCGCGCTCCTTGTCCTGGTGAATGGCTTTGGGCGGGGAATTCACTCCTAAGTTTCCCCAAATTTGGACCTCTTGGGATTCAGCCAGACCTCCCGTTCCCTGGTGTTGGAGATGTCACAACTCTAGAGCAGCAGCAGCAGCAGACGTCACAAAAGAGCGCTAGTTGTCCCTGTCCGTCCGTCTGTCCCCCCCAAGGCTGAGAGGACCATTCCTCCTCATTGCACAACCTTGCAAGGAATTACTCTGAGGCACAACTCCTGAAGTCCAAGGCCAGTTGGACTGGCTCTCGAAGCGCCTTGTTTGCGTCTTCTGGGTTCCTGATATTCTCTGTGCATATCTGGCTCTGGGAACAGGTGATCCCGGCCTTGGTTTGTAGGAATCTCACCCAGCCAGTTAGGTGGCTGTGATGCAGGGCTGTGTGTTGACAACACGAATCGCAGCTTAACCCTTGGAAGAGTCGCAGAGAACTGCACTGCCGTGAGCAAGTTCAATGAAAACAAGTGCATAAAACTGCTGGATTCTGCTCCGCCTTTCAATGTGCCCAGGACATTGGTGCCCTCTGGCCAGGGCTGCTTCCTGGGTTGGGGAAACTGCCCTGCTCTACTTTACAAGTGAGAACTGCAGCCCTTAATAACACGTGAAAAAGGCCCTATTACTTGCTAATGAATTCCAGGTCTACCTTCTCTCATTTTCAGTGAGCACTTTATTGCTAGCCAGAAAAGGTGTTGCTTCTGTTTAGCTTCATTGCTCTGTTCTTGTGCCTGCAGACCAGATTTAAACCTTCCTGCTCAAACGGAAGGGCAAGACCTTCTCCGAAGGCTTGTGGGTGACTGGAAGCAGGCAGCCGAGAGAGAGGGGACGGTTCCCTCCTCTCTGCCTCTCCTCCTCCTCCAGACCCCACACCAGCTTTTAAGCGGCCATCCTCCTCCAGGCAAGAGGCCTCTTTCTTCGCAGTCAGAGAAGGTCTTTCCAGGCTCCTCTGACAGGCACAGGCTGCCCAGGCAGGGATGCAGACCGGGCTCCCTTGACTGCTCCCTCCCCAGCCTTGCTGGCCTTCCAGGGCGAGGAAGAAGGAGGGTCAACCGGTCTCAGCACTGCACCCCTCTGATCCGAGTGACGACGGCTTGTCTCCCTAGGAAATCGGTGCCCTGTCCAGTGCAAAGGCTGAAGCTGAGAAGGCGCAAAGGAGCCACGAAGGCCGACTGGCTGGGATGGCCGAGCAAAACGGCCAGCTGAGGAGGGCCCTGGGGCAGCGGGAGAAGCAGCAGCAAGACCTGCAGCTGGAACTGGAAGACTTGAGGGGAGGCAAGGAGGAAGCCGAGGAAAGGCTGAGAAGCTGCATGGTGAGTCTCAGGGCGAGCCCAGAGCAGGGTAGGATGGAGGCTTGGCTGTCCTGGCCTTCATGGCATCACGATGGAGGTTCACCTGAAAACTGCAGGAACCAGTGAAAAAGTTCCTTCGCCTGTTGGGAGGCGTCACCAGCAGAAGGCAGAGCTGCCTCCCAGAGAGGTCAGGCACCTGCCAAGTGTCCCAATCCCACCAGTGCCCATTCCTGAAAGGGACCCTCCAGGGCCGCCTTCTCCTGGCATTCGTTGTGGGCCTTGGAGGAGGGCCTGGGGTCGGCGAGCCGCCGCTGGGCAGCTTCGCAGCTCTTAACCTTTGTAAATCGGGCCCATGGGTGGGGCTTCAGGGGGGCTCGACGTCTCAAAACCCAGGTGCGGTGCAGTGGGTGCAGGAGGTGGCAGCTGCTGAGGTTCAAACAGAGCCAAGTCAGAGTTTTTGTTTGATGGTTTGACACTGTATTGGTTTCATGGTTATTGTGAGCTGCCCAGATTTGCTTAAGATGTGCAGGCCAATGAGTCAATCTCTCGTCCTGGCAGAGAGAGATGCAGTCCTTGAGCCGTGCCAAGGAGGAAGCCTGCCAGCTGGCCTCGGCCAAGGTGTCCTTGGAAGCCCAGCTGGAGGACACCCAGGTGAGAAAGAAGCAACATTTAAAGGGGCGGGGTGGTGGTGAGAAAAACGGCGTCCCAGGGTTGTATGGAGCAGAGAGTATTAACAAGTAGCAGCAGCTGTGCACAATGTCATCTTGACAGCTTTTAATGCCGGGGAGTTTTCTAGATGGTGGCCATTGTTGCTGGGTCTGCATGTGGAACATCTGGGCTCATTTATTTCCCTCCTTCGTTATTTCTACAAAGAAGGCAGTGAACATCTCCAGCACCCCTTCCTGCTCCTATTTTCCCCACAGCAGCAACCCTTCTTCTCCTGTGATATGGGTTGGGCTGAGGGGGAGGAGGGACTGACTCAAAGTCACCCCGTTGGGACTTGAACTCATGGTCTCTAGCCTAATGCCTCCATCACTAGGCTGCACTGGCTCTGCAGGTAGCATTTCACGGCCTCGAGGGGCCTGAGGGGGTCTCGCCCTGTGCTGAGAGGGGCTGTCAGCTGAAGGCAACAGTTGGAACAGAGCGGAGAGAGGAGACAGCTAGGGCAGATCTGTGCCCTGGTTAAGTGGGGAGAGCCCAGGGACCGAGCCTCGACCCTGCCTGGGAGGCTGCTCTGCCCCTGGCCACTGGAGTTCTCGGGGGCCCACGCAGCCACGTCTCCCTCCCTCCGCAGCGGAAGATCGGTCGGCTGAGCCAGGAGCAGCAGCAGCTGATGGGCTGTCTGGAAGACGAAGCTTCCCAAAAAGATCAGCTACAGAAGACGAAGCGCGAACTGGAGAAAGAGCGGCAGCAGCTGGACGGAACTGTTGAAACGCTGCAGAAGGAGGTAAATGGCCCATCTGGCCGGAGGGTCTGGGGCTTCTGGGTGAGATTAGCATCCCTACATCTCAACTGCCAGCCACCAAAATTTCAGAGGAGGCAGCACAGAAAAACACCTGGTGACCAGATCTCAAGGAAGCAGCATCTCCTGTTTTTCAAATAATGGTCAACCAGAGTCACTGCAGAGGTGCCTGGAAATCCCTTACAGGTGTTTACAAAAGACAAATGGCGGAGTGAGCTCCCTGGCTCTCCAGGTGCGGCATTTCCGCAGCAAAAAAGCTTTCTGTTGGATCCACGTCCTTCCCCATCAAGGTCTGTAGAGCCTGAGGGGAAAGAACCAGGGCAGGATCCAAATACCATGGTTCCTTTTAATTAGGACCTTGGCAGTCCAACCTCGCAGGAAGAGGGTTTTCCAGGGGGTTTGGGGCACCTGCCTTTGCCCCGTAGGTGTGGGAGTCCACTTGGCAGTTGAGACGTTGCAGCTACCCTTCCCTCCTTGGAAAACTTTTATCCTCCCCCATAGCAGTGCTTTTCTCTTGAGTAGATGGCGGAAATCGTTAAAGTGTCCCAGGAATCAACCCAGAAACTCCAGAAGCAACTTGATGAGTACAAGGAGAAGAACCAGCAGCAGTTGAGAGATTCACAGCAGCAGCTGCAGGACAAAACCCTGGAGCTGGAAAAGGCCTCCCAGACCATCCTCAGAATGCAAGAGCAGGTACTGACCCCTGACCTTCTCGCATTCGTCAGCCTCCCTTCCTGCCTGACGCCAAGCATCAATTGGACCAAGTAACCAAAAGCATCAATTAAACTCCACCCAAACTAGAAGGGACTGAAAAAAGACAGCCCAGCAGAAACTAGCTGTGGGTAAAACAGATGATAAACAGCTAATAATACCCAAGTGAGGCTGACTCCCAATTGTGTTGCTACAACATCAGCAAGTATTCCTCGCCCCACTTGTCCCGCTGAGGGGACACCCTTGACCAAGTCGGGGCTGCCCCAATACCTGGCTCGGGGTACCGGCAAAAACCACACCAGGGTCTGTGAGCCTAAGGTCCAGCTGTCCTTGCCGGAGGTCAGCCCAGCCATTGCTTGGGAACAGTCTGTCCGGGTTGCATTCCCAGTGCCAGAACAAGCAAAGCAAGCTTCTCCTGGCACTGGGACTAAGCATGGAACAAGCCAGGAGGAGGGATAGACTGGCTATTAAAACAAACAGGCGGCTCTTAAGAAATGTCAGCTGAAAATGGAAACATCAGGAAGCAGATGATACAAAGCAAATAAAGTGGGGCCATTTCTTAGGAGGCTCTGCCTTCCCTCTCGCCACCAGCTGGGTGAGGGGCCAAGGACGTTCAGGCCCCTTTGTCCTGATTAGGGCAGCCTCGCGGTGCATGGCTGCCCCCTTGTGGCCGGAAGAAGATTGCACACACATGCTGTCCGAAAGTTCAGTGCTCCCAAATGAACTTGCGCTCTGAGGAATGGGCTGACCGGCTGGAGGAGGCCTCTGGGCCTTATGGCCCAGGCGTCTGTCCTCAGGATGGCCACCAACTGCCCACAGAAGACCTCAGTCTGCCAGCTGTTGCCCTGTGGAGGCAGCCATGCTGCCATCCCGGCTAAGAGCCCTTGATCCCCAGGACTGTCCTAGATGGGTCAACCCGTTCTTTAAACCAGCCAAGCTGGGAACCAGCACCGCATCTCGAGGCACGTGAAGACTGAGTGAATGTGCTGCACAGTCTGCCAGCTGTTGCACCCTTTCTGGAGCAGATCTGGAATGGGATCTGGACAGGCCCAGCCAGCAAAAGGGACTGTCTCCCTGGTGTTTCCATGGGAAAGGATTGCAGAACCCTCAAAGTCTTTCGCACTGTGAGCATGAGATGCTTCCGTTTATCACTTGCTTCTCTTTCAGGAAATGGGTTGGGGTTAAAGTTAAGATTAGGGCTAGCAAACCAGTCTGCATACAGAATTAAGTGTGGGCTTCCAGTGGCACCTGTGCACCTTCACAGACTTGAGGCTAGCTGAGATGGAAGAAACGTAGGATCTGGGTCTGCAAAATGCAGAAATGTCTCCTTGCCTCTAGATCCATCTGTCAAGCAGGTGTCTACAGAGCATACAGGTGAGAGGTTTATGGGACACATTCCTTTGACTTTCAGGTACGTTGTATGGAGGAAGAATTACAGGGTCACAAAAAAGCCCAAAAAGAAATCCTCACAAAGACTCGGCTTCTGGAAGACACGGTGAAGAACTTGGAATATGAACTGGAAACTAAAAGCCACTGGAAAGAAGATCGGGCAAGACAGGCCAAGATACTGGAGGTAGAAATGAACCGTGTTTGGGGAGGCAGATGGAGGCGGAGAAATTAATCGTCTTTTGCTGTGCAAAGATGTCCGTCCACTCAGTGTTTCACCTGCGAAATCCTGAAGGGCATCTGAGGCAGGCGCCTCTTCTTCTGAGTAGCTTATTTCCCTGCCTGGTGCAGCATTCCTTGGTCTCTGCCCCCCCTCC